TGCGACTCCCTTGGTATATTAGACCGCCTAGATTGCATACAGCAGGACTGCTTCATCCCCAGTTGCTTGCATGAGGGTGCCAGTCTCTGCCTTTACAGACTGCTGGTTGTACAACTCCCGTTCGACCTTGGCATATTTATCTCAAGTCAAAGCTTTGTGAAAAGGGACCATATCTGTCTTAAACTAAGAGCTGCAGAATTTCGGTAGCCCAAGACTGGTTGAGGAGTTGGGGTTACAATAGTCGCCTCATCTAGTTTAGATATCAAGCGAGCCAAATGTGCTTCGCGTTTGGGCTTATCTTATAGCGACATGTTCAATCACGGCTTCTCGTGTGAGCCCTGTAGCGTAAATTTACTGTTTAGGTAGTCTACGGAGGGGGATTTTGCATAGTCTGGGCGACTATCTGTAAAACATGGATATGGACCTCGGGGTGGCAAGAACAAGTACATGTAGTTATCGCAAGCGACAAAGGATCACATCACTAGGCACCGAGATCTAGCTTGCTTACGGAGTTGTTAGTCTACCTGGAGAAAGCAGTCCGTCGGTATCTTGTTCTCTCCAAGAATCGACCGTTACTTGCACGATCGCAGCGAATTTCGTCCCCCGCAGCGGACACTAACAAGCGCCGAAGTAGTGAAAGAGGGGTTTGAGTGACTCGCATGAACGGTGATCTGATCGATGAGGGGAGAAACAATAACTAGCACATGTACATCGCATGGACCAAGATTGGAGGATGCTGGACTAACAGTATCGTAGCTGTTTGACCAGCTGACTAGACCGCGTGGTGACGACCTGCTTAGTGGCGGAGCACTTAACGCGTCCTTCTTGGCAGCTTTTGCACAGCAAAGTGGACGATGGAAGCAGAGTTGGGGCGGAGCTGCGGGCACATGAGGAACTCTGTTGCTGTTGCTCAAGGGCTGTGGTACGAGATAAGAGCGCCTAGCAGGAGGGGATAGTGAGGAATTAATATCGCGGCCTCCATTTGGAATCCTCAGCCGGGCTCATGTGACTCTGCGCGTACACCGAATCCGTGCGTATCCGTATGGGATGTGGTGTGGTATGTAAAGTTGTATACTACAGCGAGCGTATGGACAGAACGGAACCAGACAGACAAGGCCTTGCGAGGCTGCCGGTGTGCGGCTGAGATGGGCTTGAGGCTGGCGGCACATTTACTTTGTTCTCACTCGAGCCTGGAAACTTGTCCTCGAGCATCCCATCGCCGGACCTCCAGCGGGGCCGAGTCGGGCAAAGAACGATTGAGTAGCGCACGGAGGGTGGTGGTCAGCGGCATGGAGCGATTGGCTGCCAAACAGCCGGAGCCTCAGGCAATGGGAAGAGGAGGCTGTCGATGGTTCTGGCCAAGGCACGGACTCGAAAGCTGCATCGAGTTGAGCCGCGCCCGAGAGGCTAGCCGGGCCAATAGAGGACAGGATGGGAGACGGGACGGGATAAATCATGAAAGACGAGTGACGACAAGAAGTGATGGGGGGCAAAGCAAGCAAGCAAGCAAGCGATGGGCAAAACAGGATATTCCCGAGCAACAAAACAAAAACAACAACGCCATCGCAAGATAAGTAACCAGCACTCGTACTACTGTACTTCGTACGCGTAGATTAACATGGAGGGGGCAGCCTTGCCCCGAGTGGTTGCAAATCGATGGCTGTCCAACAAGACAGGACGAGAAGAGCTGAAGCTGAAGCGAAGCTGCCAGGTCGGGCTTTTGGGGTCCCGTCACTCCCGGCCCGCGAATGGCGAGCGAGCCGCGGCCTGAGTGGTCGAGATGGGAATTGTCACAAGCCACAAGTTTGTTTGTTGACGGCTGGAGCGGGTCGTTGTTGTTAGTCGGCGACGCTATCAAGAGTGCCCCGGACGAATGGCGTGGGATAGCGCAAGCTTATGTAGCTACCACTATTTAGTTGGTAGTAGGCCCAGATGAAAGTGACACCGAGAAGATGGCAGATGGGAGATGGACGGATGGATGGGATGGAAGCGATGCAAGTGAAGAAGCGGGCACAGACACAGACACAGACACAGACACAGGCACAGGCAAGAGAGGAGGGGAACAGAGACAGACCGACAAGACAAAGAGGCGGGGTGGGGATCCGAGTTCGCTTTTTTTTCTTTCCCAACTGCCGTTTTCTGCCCGTCTCTGTACGAGTACTCGTATGGCCATGTACATGTAAGCTGAACCACTGCATCGCATCGCATCGCATCGCACCGCATCGAGCAGGGCTTAGTCACTCATTGGGACTGAGTGCGAGGTGCGTCGGCATGTCACTCGGGCGCTTGCGTCCCCCGTATTGCATCCACGTCGTGCTGGACATCATGTGTTTTTTGGCTCTGTCCACCGCCTCGAACGTGCATGTCCCGTCCTGTCCTGTCCTGTCCTGTCCGGTCCGGTCCTATTCCTGTACAGCACAGTACGAGCACGAGCACGCACATGCATGTATTCCATACTAATCTCAACGGCACAAGCACGCACGAGTAGGTACATTCATGTCCGTACCGCTGCTGCTGGCTGGGGGGAGGGAGGAGGTGGCGAAAGAAAGGGAGCAGAAAGGAGAAAGAGTGCTGTGCTTGCGGTGTTTTTTCTCTCCCGTCTTTCTTTTTTTTCCTGTTTCTTTTCTTATCACAACCCAACCGGGCTCCCCCCCATTCACGGAGGCGGTAGAGAAAGGCGGTGGCAGCGCTGCCTGCATATGGCTCTCGTCCCATGCCGAGTCGTTCCCTGCCCGCCTGCCTGCAAGCCAATCCAGGCACAGGAACGGGAAACAGCTCACCGGTGCAGCGCTGCTGGGCCTATGCAGATCATTTACCGCCAGATTGAAGCGTTCTGGCGCGGCCGCGAGAAATCCGGATTTTTGCTTTGCAAGGCCGCCTCCGGGGGGCAACTCGGCAGAATTCCTGGGGCGGGTTGCAACTGAGACACGCATATAACAGTGATGGATGTGTTTTGGCACAGCACAACTTACATGCATAGGTACACATACATGCAGACAGACAGGCGTTATCATACATCCAGTGAATGATGTATGTGAAACAAATGTCTGTGTGTGAGTGTGATACATGATAGAGGCCTACCTACTCGCAGGCAGCTCAAGCAGGATTCGAGTTATTACCTGTTGGTGCAGCAAGAAGTGCATTGCATCAATTGCATGTCTCTCTCGTACATACATGTACATTATTATTGCACAGTGCTATAGTAGTAGCTAGCCCAGGGTTCGCTTTCGCCAAGAGGCCCCAAATAGCAGCCCGTAAAGACTGGCGAGCGATCGGCCATGTCTTGCAAGGCCCTGGCGGATGCATCCGGCTGCTGCTGCTATTTGCCAGTTGCTTGTTAGTGCTCGTAAATACTCGTAGTTGCCGTCTCTCTCGCATCGTATTAGGTACTACATACCGTCCAGTCCAGGCGATGCTACGATACATGGCAGCCAGTCGCGGGAGGCGGCAAAGACGAAAAGCACGCAGCAAAGCGGGGAGGCCATTCAAGGCTTGCCCGTTGCGGTCGGTGGACTCTGAGCTCTGAAGAGCACGGCGCAAATTCCAGCTTGGCCGGCAAAGCTAGCAAGGCAAGCAGCACTATTTGTTTTTGTTTTTGTTTTCAAGTTTCGTCAATTCTCTCGTGCATTTCAATCTTGTCCCCATCGCGTCATGCCATGCGAGTGCATTGAGCGGTGTTCGCCTGCAGCTGCGCGCTTTTTACAGAACTTGGACTGTGCGTGAGAGGGCCACTCCAGCCCGTAGGCACCGACATGCCGTGCTGTATGTACATGTACGAGTGCTCGTGCATGCTTGTAGCATTGGGGACCCGGAAATGGGCGGTGATGAATGAGCTTGAATCAGCCATGAATGATTTCACGTCATGATTCATTTCAGCTGCGCGTGTGGGCGCTGGCTGTTCCTTTTCATTAAATACTACTGTAGCAAGATGGGATGGGGGAAGCGGCATTATTATTTCATCTGCCCAGCTCGAGGCGCAGCCACCGTTGGATATCAAAGCATCGTTGATTAAACGCAACAATACAAGCTACTGTAGCGGTACCAGGTACGGAGTCCGGGATCCAGCTGCCAGTGTAATCCGGGCTGCCACCTCCCCATCTGAGGGTACCGAGTACATGGGACGGTTCGGCGACCCGCAAGTGCAGCAAACCGCCACAGCCGAGCAAGGGGCCAGCATCATGACCGCCTTTCCTGACCGGCAGCCTGTCTGTGTGTTCAATTTAAAAAAAGAGGGGCACAAAACGGGCACAAGAAGCAGCAAGGGCAGCAGGGCAACAAGAGAGAGAGAGAGAGAGAGAAAAGAAGAAGAAAGAAACAGCGCAAAAAACGGGCGCCGTTCCGAGAATCCCATGCGGATGGGAACCGAACCGGACGCCTTCGGGGCCACGGCGTCTGGCTTGAGACATTTGGCCAACTTTTGTCGCTTTGGGCAAAGTTTATTACCGCGCCCGAGTTTTGCGGTAATTTATTCTCGGACGAGGAGTTACTGTAGTCGCCCGCGAAACTCGAAATGGGCCTGGTTTCTTTTTTGGAACTGGGAGCTGGAAATGGAAGAAGCCAGACCGGGTATGTAATTTGATGCTCGGCGCTCGTTACAGAAAGTACTCGCACGGCCGGGCTCGCTAATGGTAGACGAGAGTACGAGCAATTTACAACAGGCCACGAGTAATATTACCCAGGCGGTACATCAAATCTCGTTGCTGGAAATAGTGCCTCCATCCCCTGCCCGCCCTCCCCACAGCTATCGCTACGGGCCAGGGTCTGTTGGCCCGGCGGAACGTCTGGAAACGCTGTCGAAGGCGGCCCCCCGGCCCTGGCGCTGGTGCTCGCCGCTTTCTGTCGCGTCCACGTGCCGCCGGGAGAGACAGATTGATTGATTAATTGAGGCTGGGGGAGATGACGAGGAAGAAGAGGGCTTGGGGCCACGGAGGATCGCTGTAAGTCGTAATTGTCATCATTGTAACCGTTCGTGTTAGCGGTTGTTGTAACTGCTGTGTTGAATGACACCAGACGCTCCCGTCGAGGCGTTGCCGTGCCCCGAAACGGACCATCTCGAGTCGCCTGGCCGGAGCAACTGGAACCGTTTTCTGGGCCCGAAATGCGACAGCAACAATGACAAGACAAGAACGAGACACCCAACCCATCAGATCCATCCGTTTTCGACTCGACCAACCTCGAACGTGTCCAAGTCCAAGCATAAGTCGCCACCAAACCAACACCGCCGTGGCCGCAAGCACCGCGCCGTCGTAATCAGACCCCGGCCTGTGCTGTAGGAGTATTATAGTAGCTAGCGCTAGCCCCCTCTTTCCAGGCCCTTACCGACAGTGCCAGTGCCCGCCATCAGCGCCGCATCCAGCGCCTGCGACGGTGCCTGTTCAGGTCCTTTTAGAGGCAATCCATCCCCCTCCTCCCCCCCCGGACCACCGCTCATCCTCGGCCTCACCATCCCAAGCAGCATCACCAAACCTCGCCCCTTTCCCTTGACGGCCCCGTTTCCTCCTTTTCCCCCTCCAACCCCCGGCCAGTTCACCAAAGGCGTTCGAAACCTGGTCGCCCTTTGCCTTGGGTCCTTTGGGGTGCGTTTCCGGGTGCCCAATGCGTACATCCGGTGGATCCTCGCTGTCCGCCGCCGTGTAACTCGTCCCCCCAAACCCATCTATTCTGCTCCATACAAAGTGCAAGGAACCACGGCAACAATGGCTTGCAGTCGGTGTAGGTAGATGCTACAGGAAACCCGACGAAACGAATCTCGGTGCTTTTCGACAGGGGGGGCCGCAGTGGGCTCGTCCAATCCAAATCCGAAACTTAAAACAAGAACCCAGAAGGAAGCCTATTCGAAACTTCATCCATTGATCCCTCTCGTTTGTTGCGTTTGTTGCGTTGCGTTGCGTTGCGTTGCTTGCCGTTGAGCTGCGGTTCGTTGCGTTGCGTCCACCTAATAATATACACCACATCATACAACACAACACGACACAACACAGCACAACTCACGCAGACACACACACACACACACACACACACACACACCCAGATGGCCATGGCTTCATTACAGCAGCAGACGCAGCCTTCGGGCCTGAGCAGCCATGGCAAGCTCACCAAGTCCCGCAGCCGCATCGTCGTCAAGCCCATCCTCAAGCGCCTGCACCACGTCCACTCCCACTCGGAGCGCAACTCGCTGGACCTCAACCGCGGCTGGGACGACCAGCCCGTGGCCACGACGCCCGAGCTCGAGTACAGCTCCTTCGACTTTGGCTCGCGCGATCTCGACGACCTGACCAGCGACCGCCGGCTGTACTCGAGCTACCCAGCTGCGCCAGCTGCCGGCGCAAAGCTCACCCGCGACGTCAGCTTCACCAAAGATGTCGGCCCTGTGGCGCCTGGCCTTGGCCGCGCAAACACCTTTTCCTCTCCCTCTCATGCGCGCTCGACCAGCGGCAACTCGGTCTCAGCCACTGCCGCCCGCATCGGATCCTTCATCCACCCTTCAAGGCAGATGCCCCGGACCTCGACGCCGCCTCTCAACTCATACGCCAACTCGGTGGTGTCGCTGGACAACGGCCTGACGGGCCAGCAGCGCGACTTGACAGCTGCCATCGCCGAGAGCGACAGCGGCGACAACGACGAGCTTGACTTTGAAGAGCCGCTGGCCTCGCCCACCTCTCTGCGTCTCTCTCAATCCGAGTCCAACCGCGCCGGCGCCACGGCGACAAAGAATCTCTCCTACTCCTCCAGCCTCAGGTCCAACTCGCCCAACTCAAAACCAACGGCCACTGGCCGCCCATCGCTGTCCGGAAGCCAGCGCACCAGCTCAGACGGCCCTTCAGTGAGGGCTGCCACCACTCGCTCCAACTCGGGCCCCTCTGTACAACGTCTCACCCAGGGCGCTGTGAATCACCAATCCGCCGCAAACGACGGCCCTTCCGTGCCATTGCTCATCTCTACCACGCAGCAAAAGACTGCCTCGAACCCCATCTGCTCCACAACACCCACATCCCCCTTCCGCGCTTCATTAGACATGAATGGTTTCCGCCTTCGCTCACGGAGCGAGATGGACACGTCTACCCGCCAGGAGCAGGTCCGCGAGGCCCGTCGCAAGTTCGAGGCCAAGGAGAAGGAGAAGGAGGAAAAGTACGCTCGTGAGCAGATCCGCAAGCGGGAGCGTGACGCCGCCAAGGAAGCCCACAAGAACGAGCGGGCGCAGGCTCAGAAGCGAAAGACCAGCTTCGGACACACCAGCACCCTCTCCAGCGCGAGAAACTCGTCCAGTGTCCGCGAAAAGACCGAGTCAGACCCGCTCAACGGAGGCCAGGCGCAGGAGCCGCAGTTCCAGGCCCCCTCCAGAAGCAAGACGGCCAAGCGCAGGACAAACAGCCTCTGGACCGCCTTCATCCTTTGGCTGAGAACCCGCCTTCTGAAGCTGGCCAGGCGATAGGAGAGCCAGAACCCTTTCAAGGCTTCTCAGAAGAGCAGTGACAAAGCGCAGGCTGCTTCCAATTCCAACTGCTACATTACATCAAACACCTACACTCAACGCGCACGAGTCCGTTCAACTACTGGACTCGATTAATCGGGTAGCCTACAGCTACCGAACACACGTTCTTCTACTACCTCGGCCACTCAAATGAGGACATGCATGCACCACACGTATGTGTGCATGTATAATTTCTTCTCCTTCGCCCTCATACCACTCATCATCAATCGATTTAGCGAATCATATGAAACTACTAGCGAGGTCGAGGTGCTGGATTTTGCCAACATCTCCATTATTTATGATTTTTTTTTTCACTTTTCTTTTTCTCTCTCACGGCCCTTTGATACAGATGGGGAGCAGCAGACCCCAGGCGAACGCAGCATCTGGCAATGCCGTTTATTATCTTTTTTTTTTTTGACGCGAATCACAATGCAAAACTTGTCTTTCTGCGAGGCGTTACGGAAACCGGAATAGTACAAGCATAGGGCGGAAATGTTTGACAGCTTTTTTTTTTCATTTAATCTCTCACTCACACACAATTGTTGAGTTTTGATGAAGTTTTTCTATACTCCACCCATTCGATTGGGTCACATTACGAATTGCATACAGGAGGAAATACACATTGTAAGGGGGCATGCTTTGGAGCGTTTAGACACAGGAAAGCAAAGTTTTTTCTTCTTTTCCTTGGGAGCCCAAGCAAAACAAACAAACAAACAAATTAACAAAACACGAATTTTTTTCACCCAAAAAAATTTGAATATCATGGACAGACTTTTTGGAGAGAGTAGGACGATTTTGGTCTTGTCCCAAAGGTGGCTTCTTGTTCGAGGATTGGTACGGATCGCTTGGGGAAGCGTCTTGGATTTGACGCTTTCGTGGGTTTTTTGGGGAGGAAGTTTTTTTGGCGGAGGTTGCGATGAGAGAGGAGGGCTTTTTCATAGAGGCAAGGGATCCGTACAATCTGTAGTTGTTTTAGGTGTAGTTGGTGTGGAATACGAACAAGTTGGCACTCAAAATCTTCTCTTCTCGCCTTTCGTGTTGCGTGTTTATTGTCTTTGTTGTTTTTGAAGCGGGAATGTGAGATGTCACATGTAGCAGGCTATTGGTTTCTTGGTGTTTTGTTTAAACGACAGGTCGTTCATGTTTACGGTGGAGTTGGCATCATTGTACATGGACGAGTGATGTGATTCGCTGGAAAGGGCTTTGCCTAAAGGGGATCACCAGGGGCGCAGCGATGATCTTGAGGTTTTGGAGCGTCCTTTTTTTTTGTGTGTGGTTGCACTCGGGGAATGTGGGTGGGCTGGTGGTGAAGGGGGGGGGGGGGGGAACGGTGAGGCTCGGTGAATGTCTGATGGTTTTTGCAGGTATCGTGTGATGTTATTCGATGTATTGTTGACATGGCTTACATACATGTACATATCATTATCATGTCTCTCTACCAAGACATTTGTCTCTTCTTTATACTTTTTGCATCCATTCACTCCCGTCATTCAAAGCTTCGATCTTGGCCTCACGTCCACCGCTGCCCACCAAGGATATCCCGGAGGAGCATTCTCATCAATGGTGTCCTTAAACTCGGGCTTTCTCTTGTGCAAAAAGCTCTCGATGCCCTCCCTCGCATCGTTGCTCCTGACCAGCGAGTAAAACATCTTGCTCTCCACCAGATGCGCCTCCTCGGGCGTCGCCGGCGCCCGATAGATCTGGTTCTTCATCACCGTGGCCGACACCATGCTCACGTTGGCGGCAATCTCGTCGGCAATCTTGAGCGCCGTGGGGAGCACCTGGTCCGGCTCGACGACCTCGCTGAAGAGCCCGTCGAAGAGCTTGTGGCCCGCGGGATAGACGCCGCCGGTGGTGGCCAGGTGCAGGGCCTTTGCGGTGCCGACGAGGCGGGGCAGGAAGAAGCTGCTGCAGGCCTCGAGGCAGAAGCCGCGCTGGCCAAAGACGAAGCCGACTTTTGCGTCCTTGCTGGCGACGCGGATGTTGGCGGGCAGCGTCATGGTGATGCCGACGCCGACGGCGGAGCCGTTGAGGGCGGCGACGACGGGTTTCGCGCAGCGGTGGATGGCGAGGCTGACCTGGCCGCCCTCGTCGCGGTGCTGGTCGGGCGAGGAGGAAGTTTGGCCGCCGGCGTTGAAGTCCATGCCGGCGCAGAAGATCTTGTTGTGCGGGTCGGACGAGGTGAAGACGATGGCCTTGACGCGGGGGTCGGACGAGAGCTGGTCGAAGGCGGCGATGAGGGACGTGGCCATTTCCTGGGTGAAGGCGTTGCGGGCGGCGGGACGGTGAAGCTTGAGGACGATGACGGGCGTGACGGTGGGGGAGGAGGCGGGGTGGTGGGAGAATTGGAGGGTGGGGAGGGTGAAGGTGTTGTAGCTGGAGGGAAGCTTGGAGGCGGCCATTGTGGTGATGGTGATGAGGTTCTCTGGATGGATGGTGTAGATGCGAGATGAAGGGGTCTTGGTGTTGAGGTCGATGGGAGGTTTGAGATGGCTCGATGGGGGTTGAGCGCGTGAAATGAGAATTATAATGGTTGTATGAGAGAGATTAGATAAGGCGCGAAGTGGAAGTCAATGGCGGATGAGATGAGGTGAGAGGTGAGATTCATCATCTTCTGTCGATGGATATTCGTCGTTGATACTCCGTACGCGAGAGCTCATGATGACCGTCTGCAACGCGTTTGCCGTGAACCTCGGCTCCCCACACTCTGCCGCTGCCGAACTAATGTCCTTTTGAGTCTAGCCTTGAATGTTGTACTTCGGTACTCGGGTAGGTCTCCACCAACTTTGGAGGGGCCTCGAAATTCGGATTAGTTTCGATCGAGTTTACCTAGTATGTTGCATGCTATTAGTGGGATTTTTAAGGTTTACGATTGGTATAAGTCGCTTTTGCGATGTGATGATGTGAGGCGGTTTGCGGGTGACTTGATTTAGCGAGGTAATTCGGTCCATCTTGCTGATGCAGCCGTATCACTAGTACAGATAGAACAGGTATATCTTCCTATCAACGAAGCTTCTGATTATGGAAAGATTAATAACCGAGCAGAGCTGATAATGCAGATTGGCTGTTAATGATAGCGTTTACTCCACCGCCATAGCTCAGGAAGAAAGAACTAGAGCCCATTAGAACATTCCATCTCAGGTAGTACAACGCTGCTGCTTCATACATGGTGAATACTGTAGGAATAGCGTTGACATTGTGTACTAGATCTGGAACCACGACACGACCTACCTAGTCCTGATACTTTCATGTTCCACCTTGAGATTGTGAAAAACTGTAAACCTATGGCCGCGTAATCAGAGCTTCTCTAGACACCGTACTACAATGCAATAAAACCCAAATCTGGGTGCGGGAGTAGAGTGACTCATTCAAGTATGAGAGCTGGTGGATTTAATTACTCGAGAGCGTTATCTAAGGGCATACTCCATACCTATCAAGTTCAATCTCGACAGTGAAGTATATCTGCAAAGTTAATGGAAGCCACAGCAGATCCATTCCGATAGACCTCGAGAATATGCCGAGAGCAAGAAACATGGCGTGGGCATTCTGGCCGATGTGGAAAACCTAATACTCTCTGCTTTGAAAGCTTGAAATGAGATAGCCGTGCGTCGAATCAGTTCATAAAGTTTAAGTGAGAACTATAAGAGTGAATCACTATCCCACCCAGTCTTTTCTTCTTCTTCCTCTTGTTGAAATCAAGGAAAGTGGACCATCGTCACACCATCTGGGAGCATTGTATGGGTCCCGATGTTGGTCATACTGCCTCTGCCTTTTCTTTGGTTCGTCTCTTGGGCCATGTTAATGCTGTTTTGCAGAATGTTTTCAACGAAAGCGAGGACTTGTCTTGGAGATCACATCTCTCATGATGGCAATGGTACCTGGGTGTGTGGTTCCCATGCAAGATGACGTGGGAGGCAGACGGCACGAGGGAAAACAAAGAGCTCGGCGAGTTGAGGAATGGGCTAATGATGGCACCAGGAAGTTGGCCGGCTGAATCGAATTCAGGTGGCAGGGAAATGCGATCAAGTTACACCGAGTTAGACAGAGCCACAACTGCCTAGTATAGGTGCTAACGATGAAAAAAGATGGGAAAGATGGAATTGGACCTCTTTGTGCTCCAGCCTCTTGCTGAGCTAGACAGCCTCGATTTCCCGATTAGCTGCCGCTAGTCTCGTGCGGTCCGATAGCGTCTAATCGATCGATATATTTGTCCTTTTCTCGTCCTGTGCTTTTTCGCCCTGATATCTTGTGGCTTGCTGCGTGGGGAAACACCATTCCCACTGTATTCATGCTTTGCTCCGAGACCTAAAAATAGCCCGATCCTGCTTACCTAACCGCTCTGTCTCGTGTGTTATAAAACGTGCCTGCTCCCCAGACCGGTTAGGCCTTCCAGATCAGCCAAAAGCCGGCCAGTATTTAGACCCTGAGATCCCAGATTCCTAGCGGCAGCGATCCCTCTCCACCGGGATTTTATCAACATACACATGCATCCAGCCGCTCTCTTCATCTTGTCTGGCATGCATCGCACGCATTTTCGTCGCCATGGTTTATGACTGGGAGAAGTACAAGGAAGTCATCTTCCAGCGGTTCATCAAAGATGGCTGGGATTTGCCACAGGTCATGAACCATCTGCGCAGCGAGTATAACTTCGAGCCCAAGTAAGCTGAGTCGGCGAGTCCAGTTCCTTCATCTACCACAGCGCCCTCTGCGTATCGTGGGTCGTCAAATTTCGTCTCGTCAATACGACGTGACCAATGGCAGTAGAGACTAACACCTTACTGTAGGAGACGATCATTGCAGGTTAAACTCTCGGATTGGGGCTATCTCAAGTCACTGCACAAAGTCAAGCCCGCCCTGTCGCTGGATCGGGTCACGGAGCTGTGGAATCAGAACTTGTCGTATCGAAAGATAACCCAACAGCTCCGACAAGAGAGCATTGAAGTGACTGAACGAGAAGTTACCAAATTTTGCAAGGCCAACGGGTTGTACAATGGTCAAGGGGCCAGAGCTAGGTCCAAGTCCATCCAAAGCGACATGTCACAGCTCTCGCCTTTGAGCTTCCCTGACGGCGCTTACTCGGAAGATGAATCCATGGTGCTTCGTCGCACTTCTTCTGCATCATCATCTGGGTATTTTTATCCAACATCTGGGGAATCTCGCCCTGCAAAGCGACCAAACAGGATCAAGGCGTCCCCTTTACGTCGTCGCAAGTCTGAAATGACTCTGACGGAGGCCAAAAGCATACTGGGAATAGACGAAGAACAAATTACGACACTCCGCGACACTTTTGCGGCTATCTGCAACGACAGTGGTATTCGCTCAAAATCCCACACAACGGGAAAATGGGAGGGAGCAATAACACAGCTGTTGCACCAGCACCCTGAATTGTACAAAAGAGTGTTAACGTTTCCTGAGAACATCGAGAGAAAGCGGAGAGCCTTGGATACCATATGCAGGAATTTTGCAAAGACGGAGCGTTTGGGGCCAAAGATGACGCAAACGGACGCCAAGAATGCCTTGGGGTTAAATCCTGAAGAGGCCAGGGAGGCACGAGAGATCTTGAGTAACTTTCTCAAAATGGGAGGGTTCGCCGATAAGCTCGCTGTGACTCCCACGACCGATAATTGGAAGGTGTTGATGGACCGCTGGGGCGCCCTGCACGACAAGATTGACAAGGCTTGGATCGAAGCACGCCAGGATCCAGACGGGAAGAAACAAAAGGCGTTGGCTGTGTTGTCGCGGGACGTCTTGAAGAGGCTCCGCGATGATCGCCCTTCTCGACAATCCAAAAAGGGGCGCTTCGATGAGATGGATACGCCAGACTCAAACCAGCCTCTTGTCGACAACACGGGCCAGGGCTTTTACACTGCGGAGATGGAAACCCAGTCACAGCAAAGTCCTCTGTCGTCCTTTGATGGAGCAGGCATGGAAGGTTATGCACCAATGAAGACGTTTGGCAATGTGGCTGAGAGTCCATATACTTTCCAGGCAACGTCGAGCCCTGACACCAGCGCCATGAGTCCTTATCTGCCGGTTCAGCCTGCGTTTGGGAATACAATGTTTCCCTTTCATACAACGCAGACACTGACTCCTCCCATGTTTGGTTTCCACGGGAACTCGAGCATGTCGTTGCCCGGGACGTCACAGTATCAGCCTCCGCCTCAGTCTCCGCTCCCCAGATTTGCGCACGCGAGCTTCACGGGTGCTCCCGATGCCACTCAGGCACATGGCAATGCGCCATTTCATGCCATAGCCTCAGGGCAGTGGAACGCCGTTGACGACACGCCTGGCCTGCTGGGGGGGCCACTCGACGGTGGCTCTGACGGTACCATGACGCTCGGTAACGGTCACGGTCACTTTGAACCCCATGCGTGGTCTCAGGCGTCCATGCATGGAACGATACCTGCATTTTGGCCACAGTAGGCTTGATGCTTCGTGGGATTTTGCTGGAGCGATCCAAGGAAAGAAATACACTGCTGCGACGCGTTGCTGAAGTGTTTGGTCTAAACTCGCCGGTCTACTTTGGCGCTGAGGCGGTACGTGGTTGGGGAGCTTGAATGGCCAGTTTTGTTGTTGCCAGCTTGGCTTGATATTGGGCATGGAGGATCGTCTGGGCAATGCCCCCCTTTGTCTGGGGGCGAGAAAATTGCCCTCATTCTTGTTTTTTCTTTCTTTCTTTCTTTCGCCTTTTCCATTTGCTTGTCGTTACATCTATCTTTTCTTCTTTTTTTTTTTTTATTTCTCGTTTCGTTTTGGGGATTTCTTCTTCATTCTGTTTCTTTATTTTGACTTATAATACATGCATGGATGACGGCAAAAGAGCTCCATGGACGATGTTAGAAGTCAAGACTGACTTGCCACTCCTTCTTCGGAGTGGACTCGGGATTGGCGTTTTGGTCAAGGAAGGCAAATACATGGCGTTGAGCAGGGTCTATGAATAATGTCTGCTATTCAAATATGCATGGCTACACCATAAAGGGCGGTTACGGGCGTTATGGGTTTGATTGGTTTTGGTATCCATGGATCTGGTATGGTATGGATGAGGTACTCGGAGTTACTCAAGCATTGCTAAGGGACATATGTTTACATTGGGCTGGGAGTTTGATTGGTTTTGCTTCTATACCCCTACAAGTTTTTAGCAATTCGTGAACAAACATTGAATTCTTTACTATCCTCATTCTCCGTCGTTGAAAGACTACCGTGAAATGCCGAATCTACATACTACTAATGTAATACAGATCCGCCGCTAACGTCTTCTGAGCACTGACAGACATGTTTGGCCCGCCCCCACCATTGCAAAAGCTAAGCTTCGCCTTTCGCAATCGCCATCAATCACTTCAATGCAACTCAACCGCACTGCGAATTGAGCGTCTGCCGTACTTTTGCGTGCTGCACCTGTCCCAGATCCAGGCCACGGGCCCATAGCATCGAGTTCGCAACCAAATGCTCAAGTGCGGTTCGGCAGCGCATCCATTGCGCCGCGCACAGGCTCTGCGGAGCTTGGCTGCGGTGCGACCCGGAGCAGCTGGGCGGCACTACGCAACAGAGATTGAGCCCAAGGCGCCGAGGCAGGGCAATGAGCAGAAGCTGGGGAGGTCGTTCCAGGGGCAGGTCATGGGCAGCATCGGGGCGCGTCTGAGGAGGGAGCGCGAGCAGCGCGAGCAGTACGAGAAGTGGAGGGACATGAACGATCCGGCGAGAAATTGGATGTTGACTTTCTGTATGTGACGGCCGCCGGCTGGCTCTTGCAGCCGTCTCCTGTCTCCATATGCTGACATTATTGGCGTCTTCAGTGTTCCTATCGAGCGTTGGCATTTCCTACTGGCTGGGCACCTACTGGCCGCGAGAACCCGAGCAGACCTCGACGTTGCCGTTATCCAAGACGAGACCACCGGCGCATAACGTCAAGCTGGAGAACATGCAGGCGGCATGGGCGGACTTTGTCAAGATTGTCGGAAAGGATAATGTCAGCACAGATGAGGACCAAATAAGTGCGCACGCCACGTCGGACTGGACGACGCACAAGGCCGGACCTGACGATCGTTCGTTCTGCGTGGTGTATCCCGGCTCAACGGAGGAGGTCTCGGAGGTTATGAAGATTTGCCACCAGAGGAAGATTCCGGTCTCTGCCTACAGTGGAGGAACCAGCATTGAGGGACAGTTTACGCCGACGAGGAAGGGCATTTCCATCGACTTTGGCCGAATGGACAAGGTTCTGGCCCTGCACGAGGATGATTTGGATGTGGTTGTTCAGCCTGCTGTTGGTTGGGAAGAGCTGAATAACGAGCTCGCAGAGAAGGGCTTGTTCTTCCCTCCGGACCCTGGCCCAGGAGCTATGATTGGAGGCATGGTTGGAACTGGATGCAGCGGCACCAATGCTTACAGATATGGCACCATGAGGGAATGGGTTCTTAGCTTGACGGTTGTCATGGCCGATGGCACCATTCTCAAGACTCGACAACGCCCTCGCAAGAGCTCTGCCGGATACGACCTTACGAAGCTCTTTATTGGATCTGAGGGCACCCTCGGTCTGGTGACGGAAGCTACGCTTAAGCTTACGGTTAAGCCTGAGTCCATGAGCGTTGCGGTGTGCTCGTTTCCCTCGATTCGCCACGCAGCCACCTGCGTGAGCAAAGTCGTCGGCAAGGGCATCCCCGTTGCGGCCGTGGAGATTTTGGACGACAACCAGATGAAGGTCATCAACCTATCCAAGACCACTTCTCGCACATGGGCCGAGGCCCCTACCTTGTTTTTCAAGTTTACCGGAACACCCAGCGGCGTCAAGGAGCAGATTGCGCAGGTCCAGGCGCTCGCCTCACAGGCCGGCAGCAAGTCATTCGAGTTTGCCAAGACGGAGGCCGAGCGCGACGAGCTGTGGAGCGCAAGAAAGGAAGCGCTCTGGAGCACCATGGCGGCGAAGAAGGAGGGCGATCGGGTCTGGACTGGAGATGTGGCTGTTCCGATGAGCAGGCTGCCGCAGTTGATTGAAGAGACCAAGGCGGATATTCAGAAGAGCGGGCTGTTTGCGTCGATTGTCGGGCATGTTGGGGACGGAAACTTCCACAGTGAGTTATATTCGACTGAATTCTTGAGTGAATGGAGCATATTTCTAACCGTCGAAAAGCCATTCTGCTGTACAACGACGCGCAGCGGAAAAAGGCCGAGGCGGTTGTTTCGCGGATGGTGAAGCGAGCGGTTGAGCTCGAGGGCACAGTTTCTGTAAGTCGGGAGCTACTTGACAAGAGAAGAAAAAACTTGAGATACTGATCTTCTTGACAGGGAGAACATGGCGTTGGTTTGGTCAAGAGAGACTACCTGCCTCATGAACTTGGGGAGACGACGGTGGATGCGATGCGCCAGGTAAATTGCATGAGTCACTCTCTTATACTCTTTATGTTTTCATGTGTATATTAACATGGGGATGTAGATTAAAAAGGCCTTTGATCCTCTGTGCTTGTTGAACTGCGACAAGGTTATCCGTATGCAGAAGCCCAAGAGCGGCGAGGTCAAGGAATGGTGAGTCTGTTGAGGTTGATATCACGAGGCCCCCGCCCTTCATGGAAAACTGTACTGTACTATATAACGTGTATTTAAAAACCAAAATCATCACCTTTATTGGACGAGAGACGCAATGCAAAGTGTCTGCTCTCTGTCTCAGTTCTATATGGGCAAATCACAATTCAGACGCATTCAAGTCACAAGCAACAGGCCAAAAGCATCAAATGGCTTATCTAATCTCGCGCCCCACGCTATGCCGTCATCGGCGCAATCACACGCTGCTGGTCCCTGCGCCAACTCCAAGCTCGTGACATTGCCAGCTGCTGGACGGCCCCAAATCAGCAACATTCCAGCGCCTCTTGGACCTTCATAACTGCTGCATAAGCAAATATTCCCGAAATCACCGTGCTGTCGACGATTGCTTTTGTATCATCTTCACCCCCAAACAGCTCAACAAAAGACCGACGATTGATATCCCGCCCCGCCATACATTCGTGCAGGAGTGTTGTCACTGCGCTTCCAACCCCGCTGACCCCCTGGGTCTTGTCGCGTCTTCATCATCTCTCTCCATGTCGCTCTTTACCGCACAGCTTCATCCCGGACGGGCTCTCGGGTTCTTCAGTAAGCAGAATCTCACCTAGACTCCAAAACTCTGTTGAAATCCGGACTCACCACGTCTGCTAGCCCTTGGCGCGTCCCTCCACGATGTCCTGACCCGGGTCAAGGCAGAACCGCAAGCGTTCCCGAAGCTCGAAGTCCTCTACTCCCGAGACCAGCCCGTCACCGAACCGGTATGCGTCGTGCTGCCCCAAAACGGCATCAGGCTGCGGTTCGACGGCCCTGAGCAGCGCCTCCGCCTGATCGAAGTCATCGACTTTACAAAGAGCCACATCACCTTTAAGGATCGGGATCTGGTACGGCCAGCCGGCGCCGCTGCTCCCGAAGTGCCGGGCGAGTCATCGGCGGGACCTACCTTTCGGCACATTTACCATCGGCTGCTGGGACCGACCTATGCAGGCGAGTTCATTCCTCCGGCGGCATCTCAGGGCAACGGAACGTATGTCTTGTCGTATCCCGGCGTGGCCTTTAACTTCTCCGTGCCGACCTCTGTATATTCGGCCGACAAAGACGTTGTTTCGCTACTTTCTGCCTCTTCATCGCAGATTGCGACTTCTATGGCTGTGTTTAGTGGTAATTCCTGGGCGGAAGTGCGGCCGACGCTGTGGACGGAGGTTCTGCCTAGCGTCAAGGTGACTTCAACTATACCTCGTGGGAAGGACGTTTACCCTGACGAGGTATCCTTGATTCGACTTCACGGCGGGGGCAAGATACAGCTATTTCGGAAATGGACGGCGAGCTCTTTCTGGATCATCCTTGGTGAGACCACGCCGCAGGATCTCGTGGCAGAACTTGGGCCGCCGAATGCGATATACCGTAAGAATGATCAGAAGATGGTCATTCACAAGATGCGAGCCGCTAGTAATACGCACGGCCGCCCTAATGTGAAGGACCTGGGCCGGCCGGATGAGTCGACGGATACGGACCAGTCGTCTATGCATACTGGCTCAGACGAATCGGATAACGAGGCCGCAGTAGAAGACGAAGGGGGGGATAATGCATCCGGAGAGTGTTTCTACAACTACTTCTATCTTGGCTTTGACATTCTCATGTCTACGCCCGTACCCCCTTCGAGCCTACCACCAGGAGAGACACAAGTGCCGGATGATATTGGTAACGGAATCAAGACCCATGCTCCCGATCGACTAGTTGCGACGAAACTGGTGCTCCACGGCAACATCCCCGGCTCCTACGAATTCAACCGCCATCGACGATGTCGCTGGGAGATTAGCTACCTGGATGACCTGGCCAGTGATGGTGGCCCCGTCAGCTCCGAGATGGAATTCAAGACGATAGAGAATCTCATGAGCAGGAAATGGGAGGGCGCCTACCCCACAGACAAGACTCAGCCGCGGCAAGGGGGTATGGTCCTGAACCGTGGCTGGGGCGACAGCCCAGGCAGCAGTTGCGAGTTTCTCGGCGGTTGGGAAGAGAGCGGCGCGAGGAGGCCGGAGGCAAATGGCGATTCTACGACGACGCTGTATGGCTTCCCTGGAATGGTTTTTGAAGTGTTGAGGAATGACTATGTTAACACGTTGACGGTGTTTTGAGTTTTGGGACACTCAAGGGGGGGTTTACGGGGGATGAATGGGGAAGGGTTGGGGGGGTTTTGCATACTAATCATTCTGACGAGAGCGAATTTTTTTTTTGGCAATTCTGAGGCTTGCCGTTTTGTTATTATTATTTGGGATGTTAGTTGGGTGTTTTTGGGTTGGGATATCATACATGGCATTGTGTTAACGAGCTTTAACCTTGGATTCATTATTCATAGTTTTTTGTGCTCTTAATACAGACGGAATTACAACTTAGCTTCAGTCATACTTAGACTGACTGAGGTATGTTTCTAAACTTATGTGCTGCAGTACCTTATATAGCGAATTCCGTGATCTGTAATGTTTAGTTTGGCGAATTGTTGCTGATTGAATTGAGATAAGACCTGAGTCTAGATACTGCGCCAAAGTCTAGGACATGGTTCCTTACTGAACAAGCAGTCCACGGCTAATCGGGCCTTTCACATTACTCAGTATAGACACAACTCCTATACTACAATCCTTTGTAGACATTGGCTGTCTCGTATTGCTGGTTATAAACACAACTCCTATACTACAGTTACTTTGCAGACTATGATTCATCCCGTAAGAAATCCTTATTGTTCGGCCAGGGGTCCGCTGTCAATGACACTCCATCGGCTGAACAGAAAAGCGGTGCTATTCATAGTTCATGTCATCATTTAGACATGTATTCTTCTCAGATCGGCCTAGAGGCTGCCATCTCGGAATTATCGGCGTTGTTAAAACCCCCTATAATGACTTGCTACACGCAGATTAGTTGAGTAACCCTGCCTTGTGTTAAGAACGAATCGTATTTTTGGAGGTCATTTAGATGTTGGTGTTTGTGTGTTGTATTGCTCGCATAACTCCGATCCATTGCGTTTCCATCGGTTCAGTCAAACTACCTGGTCGATTATTCGGCATATCTAGCCTTTCCTTTTCGGAGACATATTCTGTTGTTGCGGGCCATGTGTTTTCACATCATTTGACACAGGTTCCGTGTCCCAATTTAGTCCTTTCGGGAGAATCATGCCGGCACCCTGATGATTTGCTGCGTATCGGGCTGCAGTGTCTGCAAGGCAATTGCCTTTCACTTGAGAGTGGCCTGGAACCCAGCGCAATTCAAGTTGGACTCCATTGCCGTAGAAGTATTGTGACATGGTCATGATATGGTGTAGAAGGGGGTCGCAGATTAATCGGGCATCGGCGACGGCGCCCTCTCGAAGCTTGCATATCTTTTGCAGCGCGCTTATGCAATCGCTGAATATTGTCACTTTGGACCACCTGGCCTTTCCATTGGAGTGTTTTCTGTTGTCGTCCAGGTAAAGTGCCCTCTCTGTCATGGCAATTGTCAAAGCATGTGCAATGGCAGCAAGCTCGGTGAAGACAGTGTCTCGACCTCGGCTGGCTGGGGTAAAGTATTTAATGTTCCAGTGTTCGTCTCTCTTAGTTTTGTAGACAACAGCGGCACCGGATGGAATGATTGAGGTATGCTCGGCGGTTGGTGGCGTTGAACTTGGTTTGGGATTTACGGTAGAAGAGCCGTCTGAATAGAAAACGCGATGACGGCGGCCGAAATTGCAACTGAAAATATTCCGTGCCGTAGCAAGAGCAAATTTCCTCGAGGGTAGGTTTGCTTTCAAGGGTATGACGATGTTGGCGCAGAATCTGAATTCGTGGGCAGCATTGAGTTTGGTTATTTCTTTACTAAAGTCGAGCACTTTGTTGACGCTGCTTATATAGCGAGCGTTTTCATGTGCGATGATTCTCTCTTTTTTGCCCATATTATCTTTTAGAGCTAGAGCTTTTGTATCGCTGCGTAATAAAGGTGATAGAAAAAGATGGAATAGACTGATCCGAGAGCAGACATAAGAGGAGCAACGATAGCTCTATGCGAAGGCGATTTTGATAAGCTTCTTCTTTCAAGACAATCTTTTGCTGCCATGAGCCTCACCTTGATAGTGTTGATCAAGTATCTTTGCATGATTTCTGTTGGCTACGGATACTTGTTGATTACTTGGATCTAATTTTTTAGTTGCTTGGTGAAGATGAGATGGCCAAGTAAATGTGACGTTTGGCATTTGACTTCCTTTCTACGCCACTGACTTGAGTCTTTCATCATATTAAGTTCTGTATTGCATCAACTGCTCTCTGGCAGAGTAAGTTCGCAGCCTATCAGAAGTCTATCAAGACATATCATTACGTGCTACTGCTATGGTGCTAAGGCAATATGAAGTAGAAAGAGAGCAATAACGAGTCTTGTAATGAAGTACACCAAAACCAAACGCAAAGAATCGAGATCGGGGAATACGCCGTATTCACGCATTCTCGGTACGTACCTGCGATAGCCGAACGGAACAATTCCTTCCCACGTCGGTGAATGGCGGCCCAAGGAGCTAATTGTGGAGTGCCTGCCTCGCCGTAATGGTCATTAGAGCTGGCTTTGCTCAATATGGGCAGGTGCTCCTCCGTGCTAAGATGCTAATAAGATGCCAAGCAACCAAGGTAGGCACTACGGTAGGTTCCGATGGCGCTCCTTCCTGCTGCACCTGATTGATAAATGCGCGAGGGGATGGATGTGAATGGAAGGAACCTTTAATTTATTAGTCAGTACAGATGCAGATGCAAAACGAAAACGAGTGGCGAGCGTGAAGCCACGTTCCGAGCATTCTCTGGATCCGGGAATTCTTCCGGGTTGCCTCTCTGACAGCGCAGCGGCCAAAACACCTTCCGCAAAGCAAATGCAGAAAATTCAGATCAAATGCTACTCTGTTTACATGTATCTACAGCGGCTTGGCTTCCCCATTATTATGGATCTAGCCTAGGCGGGAGCGAAGAAAAAAGAACCTGAACAGGCAAAAGAGTGCCGCGCGGGGCAGCAGTTTTTGTGGGCTCTTCAAAACTCTGACTCTGACGGGGTCCATCCAGCCAGCGCAAAGGGGGAGGGCGAGTGTGTGATTGATGATGGGATGTGATGTGGTGATGCGGCTTGGGTGAATGATGGTTTGCTCCGAGGTAAGTGGTTTTGCCGAGGGGGGGTTCTCAAGCTTGAACTCTTGTTGATTCCTGGATTTTCTACAGCGTCTCGTGCAGTCGGATGTCAATCAACAACTGGATCCCAAGACAAGATAGAAATCACCACCATAGGGCGCGCGTGGTAGTCCATTTTAACTCGCCTTCGCTGTTCGGAGTTGTGCAATCACCGGGGGGAAAGATGCACCTACAACACTAGCCCCTCGAGCTCACCAGCCATCGGCCAGTATCAAAGGGGAAGCAAAAAGAACCTTGAAACCAATTTATTGCCGAATCCTTTAAATCCAGCTCACTAGCTGCCGCCATTGGCCTATCTCACCAGCCCAATGCTGGCACCCGCTCTCGGCCGATGCCCTGCAGGTCGGTATGAAGCCTCGCCCCCACCACAGGGAAAAAGGTCCAACACCCGGGCAGTGTGGCCGGAAGGCGTCTTTTGCGGTGAGGAACGGGCCATTACGAGTAGTATTACGAATACAGCACGCACATCCTGGGGTCGGAAAGGGCAAACATCGTACCAATCGGCCGTGACGGAGGCACGCGCCAAGCGCAGGCGGCAACTACGGGCGCCATGGACGGCGATACACGGGTCCTGAGCTCGCACGAGGCTGATCTTGGCGATATTTTCATCTTCAGGCCGGGCATTAACAAGCAATCCTATTCATTGTCGATTCTCCCAGCGTCCATTTTCGAGGCCTAAATCCTGCGCTTGTCCCGTGCCGGGTTCCGGGAATCGGCCCAAGCCCACGCCGAACTCGAGCAGCCCACTCTTCGTACATACGAAGTACGAAAACAACGGCGTAGAAGTGGGCCGGCCGACGAGCTGTAGCATTTCTCTCTGGCTCTCGCTTGATTACAAACGTGGATGCTTGACGCATTTCGACGTTCCTTTCTCACCTTCTCTGCCGGGGAGGGGAGACTATCGGAGCGCTACCTTTCTATATAGTAATAGTGTCCCCCGTCGACAACCATCCCTTCTGCCCATGCTCTTTAGGCTTTTCTTCATCTTTCGCCTTCCCCTATCCTTCTCAACTTCTCTCCTTTGTCTTGCTGCAGCTGCTGCCAAGGCAAGGCAAGGACCTGGATTTTTCTGCTCCCAAGCAGAGAGCTAAGAAAGAGAGAATCCGAGACAAAGTCGCCACGAGGAGTTGGCGTCCGCTCGCCACGCGAAAGCTCCACCAAAAAGTCTCAGCCGCCGAACCCTAACCCGTCGACCGTGTCTCACAAGCCGTCGACGCCTCACTATGGCTGTTGAACAAGCCACAACGCCGGATAGGCGCACCAGCTCGGATGATACAGTCAATCCTGCGCGCAGCACAGATGGCGAGATCAAAGCCATTGAGGCTGGCCTCGGAGTCGACAAGGAGCTCGGGGAGAGCAACATTGGCATTACAACGCTGGAAAAGGATGATACGGCTTCAGCATCGGCTTCAATAACAGCTCCGGCCGCCGAAGGACCTCCGGCGCAAGGGCCACCCGCAGACGAGCCGGAAGCTGGCCGGACCAATGTCGAGACGTTTCTCGTCATCTTTGCCCTGTGTTTGGCGCTTTTCCTGGCTGCTCTTGACATGACCATCATCACCACTGCCATCCCGACCATCTCCAACCACTTTGGTTCCAGTGCTGGCTACATCTGGATCGGAAGCGCCTACCTACTCGGCAACGCTGCGTTCGTGCCCACATGGGGCAAGATTTCCGACATCTTCGGCCGCAAGCCCACCCTCATCGTTAGTGTCACCATCTTCTGGATCGGATCGCTACTATGCGCTGTCAGTACCAGCATGGGCATGCTCATTGCTGCTCGTGCCATCCAGGGCGTCGGAGGTGGTGGTACCATCGTCCTTCCCAACATCTGCATCTCCGATCTCTTCTCTATGCGCAAGCGAGGCATGTACTTTGGTATCCTTGGCATGGTTTGGGCCCTGGCCTCAGCCATTGGACCCATCCTCGGCGGTGTCTTCACCAGCAAGGTCTCATGGCGCTGGTGCTTCTACATCAACCTACCTTTGGGCGGCGTTGGTCTGCTCATCCTCATCTTCGTGCTCAAGCTGCACAACCCTCGCACGCCAGTCAAGCAAGGATTGGCTGCCATTGACTGGGTTGGCAACGTCCTCATCATTGGCGGCACGCTTATGCTGCTCTTTGGACTCGAGTTTGGCGGCGTTCAGTTCCCCTGGGACTCCGCTGCCGTCATCTGCCTCATCGTCTTTGGCTTCGTCACCATTGCCCTCTTCGGCATCTATGAGAACCGAGTGGCCAAGTTCCCCGTGATGCCTACTCGACTTTTCCGTGACAGGACAAGCATTGCCGCCTACGGCCTGTCCATCATGCACGCCATGACCTTTATGTCTGGCAGCTACTGGCTTCCCCTCTACTTCCAGGCCGTCTTGGGTGCCACATCGCTTCTCTCTGGTGTCTACATCTTGCCCTATGTCCTGGCCTTGTCCTTTACATCTGCCCTCACAGGTGTATTTATCAAGAAGACGGGCAACTACCAGATTCCCATCGTTTCTGGACTGTTTATCATGACCATAGGCTTTGGTCTCTTCATTGACCTTGGGGCCAGGGCTAACTGGGCCAAGATCATCATCTTCCAGATCATTGCCGGTATTGGCGTTGGTCCCAACTTCCAGTCACCTCTCATTGCCCTGCAAACCAACGTTGAACCCCGCGATATTGGAGCCGCGACTGCCAGCTTCCAGTTCCTCCGTCAACTTGGAACGTCTACTTCGGTTGTCATTGGCGGTGTCATCTTCGACAATGAGATGCAGAAGCAGCAAGCCTTTCTCCAACGAGAGCTCGGACCCGAGTTGGCCGCCAGATTTTCCGGCTCCGAGGCTGCGTCAAGTGTATTCCTGATTGCCAGCCTCGACGGCCATCAGCGAGAGGTGGCTCAGACAGCCTACTGGAACGCTATGCAAAAGATGTTCATCGCTTATACCTGCTTCGTTTCCTTGGGTCTCTTCATCAGCCTCTTTGTCAAGCAGAAGACTCTCAGCAAGCAGCACACAGAGCACAAGACAGGCCTCGCATCTCTCAAGCAGAGGGAAGAGACAAAGAAGAAGCAACCCGACGTTGAGAAGGGCGCCGAGGCTACGCAGTGAAAGGGGTCGTTCGATAACAACAACAAAAGTTTTAATTTCTCGCTTATTTTCATTGGTTTACGGCGTTGATGACATGATTGGGAACGGAAGGACGCATGAAGAAGATATCCAGCATTTCAGAGATAGATATTCTCATCAATTGATGAGGTTTAGCATACTTCTTCTCTTTAGCTACATTGTTCATACGCTTTAGATTTTGTTTATAGTTGGAGGTCACTACTCACTACTTACGACGCTAATAACAGACGCACCATTGATGATACGGATTACGGAGTGCATGTCTCATTCTATCCAAGACAAACTGCTTTATTCTTCTGGTGTGAATCCATGACAGCTCGATCTTGAATGACATAATCGTTAAATCTCACACCGTTGCTGTGGCGACGGCCACCCAAGGTCCACCCCTGCCTGTCGTTGTTGTGCTAGGTACCAAGTACCAAACAATAGAGGCATTTAAGCGTATAATGCCTGTATTTCTACTTTCAGCAACTTCAGATTTTTTACGGAGCCCAATTCTGTACCAACCCAAAGCTGCTTCTTACAAGCAGCTCTACCTGTGTGTGTATTTCCGTAAACAGGTCTTTTTCAATAGTGATACCCTGGCTACTCCTGCACATGTCCACATCTCGCACAGATCTTTTTCCAGGCCCCTCCTCACTAATAAAGAAGAATTGAATCTGGTCTCCGTCTCTCGATTTTTCAAGAGTAATTAAATGCGAACTCTCAGCTCTCCCTTTGTGGGTTTCATGCGCTCTGACCAGGAGGTACTCCAGACTTGAGGTACCTTGGTACCTCCTAATCGCCCAGGGCTCCACCGCTATCCCCGCCTAAGGAATTATTATCAACAACAACACTCTCGCCATATACATACACATCCTTAGAGAAAGAAAGAAAAAACAACGAAGGCTACCTATCGGCAGTGGTGGTCATACCGCCGTCAGCATGGCTCACCTTCGAACACGTTCCGATCGAGATCCTACTCGGCCTACCATGAGCTCGTCGAGCATACGAACAGGCGCCGGCATGCGAGGCAGCACGCGTCCGGGCAGCGCCAGACCTTCCAACGCCGCAGCAAATCGACACCTGGGCGCCGCGTCGCGGGCTGACCGGTCGAGCGCCATGTCCCCCGCGGACCCGGCGGCGGCGGGTGGGACGAAGCGCAAGGAGCGCGACTTTGAGGCCGACGTGGTGGTGGGCGGAGGCGAGGAGACAAACATCAACGTCGTGGTACGGTGTCGCGGGCGCAGCCAGCGGGAGGTCAAGGAGAACAGCGCCGTGGTGGTGAATTCGGACGGCGTCAAGGGGAAGGTGATTGAGCTGTCGATGGGGGCCAACGCGCTGAGCAACAAGACGTACAGCTTCGACCGCGTGTTCTCGCCTGCCGCTGACCAGTCCATGGTGTTTGATGACACGGTGAAACCTATTCTGGAAGAGGTTGGTTTTCCTGCGCAGTTCGCTCCTGATCTGATTTCGGCAGTGGCATACACTCTCTCATATCGGCATGTGCTAATGAAATGGCCAGATGCTCGCAGGTTACAACTGCACGATATTTGCCTATGGCCAGACGGGGACAGGCAAGACTTACACAATGTCGGGAGACATGTCAGATACGCTGGGCATGCTCTCTGACGAGGCCGGCATCATTCCCCGCGTCCTGCAGCAGCTGTTTAATAAACTCGAGATCGAAGGTAGCGACAATTGCGTCAAGTGCTCTTTCATCGAGCTGTACAACGAGGACCTCCGAGATTTACTCTCTGCCGACGAAAACGCAAAGCTAAAGATTTTCGACGACGCCTCAAGACGAGGCCACGCAACCACACTTGTTCAAGGCATGGAGGAGAAGCACATCAAGAACGCTGCCGAGGGAATCAAGGTGCTCCAGGAGGGTAGCCTGAAGCGCCAGGTAGCAGCGACCAAGTGCAACGACCTGAGTTCTCGAGGCCATACCGTCTTCACGATTACGGCATATGTCAAAAAGCCCAACGACCAAGGGGTGGAGGAGCTTGTCAGCGCTGGCAAGTTGAATCTGGTGGATTTGGCTGGGAGCGAAAACATTCAGAGATCAGGCGCAGAGAATAAGCGAGCCACCGAAGCTGGCTTGATCAACAAGTCGCTGCTCACTTTGGGGCGAGTCATCAATGCTCTGGTGGATCGCAGCCCTCATATTCCCTACCGAGAGTCCAAATTGACCCGACTTTTGCAAGATTCGCTTGGTGGCCGAACAAAAACATGCGTCATTGCCACCATTTCTCCCTCAAAAAGCAACCTCGAAGAAACGATATCCACACTCGAATACGCATTCCGCGCGAAGAATATCCGGAACAAGCCTCAGCTTCATATGATGACGAAGAAGATGCTTCTTAAAGACTTTACTCTTGAAATTGAGAAGCTGAAGAGTGAATTGATATCTACACGACAACGCAACGGCGTTTACCTTTCCAACGACATGTACGAGGAGATGACTGCACAGAGCGAATCAAGGAGGATTGTATTGGAGGAACAGAGTGCGCGGCTCGAGACATTAGAAACAAATCTACGGAACAAGGTCCAGGAGCTCTTTTCCCTCAACATTACGTTCATGGGCATGAAGAAGGAGAACGAAGCCACCAAGGCACAGCTGGAAGATACTCAAGGCGTCCTCGATCAAACCGACATTATCCTCTCAGCGACTCGTCAGACGTTGGCAGAAGAGACGGAACTCCGCAAGGCTCACGAGGAGACGGAGGAGAAGCTGACGGAAATCGGCAGTGTGCTGATTGACAAGCTGCAGAAGACGGTCAAAGACGTCAATGGGCTACACGCAAAAAACAAGCGTAAATCGGACCTACACTTGTTGAACCGGACGGCTTGGAACTCATCCCAGTCTCAGGTTGCTGAGATAACATCAATGGTGGAGCGACGGGTCCGCGTCTTCCAGCAGGAGCAGCAAGAACAAATCTTGAGCGTATCAAGACGAATGGAGACGTTTGTGGAAGAAGAGCTACAGAAGCTGTCTGCTACACAAAACTTCATGGACGAGAACTTTGAAACCTTTGCGGAGTCCAAGAGACAGCTCTTGGAGCAGAAGCAACGATCCAAGGAAGACATGGACGAGGTGTTGGAAGAAATCAAAGAGATTCGTGACAACGTCAAGGAGCGGGTCAGCGAAAGTCTTCAGGCCATCGCACATGCCGCGGAGAAGATTGCAGGGGACGTGTTGAGCGAAATGTCAGGCTTCCACGAACAACTCCATACTTCGTACTCCTCCTTGGGCAAGGATTTCAAGTCCATCTTTGAAGATCTCGTCCGGCATATCACCACCCAGCGCTGTGAGTCTGACAACCTGAGGCGACAGTTGCAAAGTGCCACCAATACTATTATGCTCCAGAATGCCAGTATCTCGACTCGCATGCAAGAGGCGTTGGAAGAAGAGAGGCGGCAAGGGGCTGAGGAACGCCAAAAGCTTTTGGCCCAAATCTCGGCCCTGATCACGACCCAAGCCGAAGCACAGGAAAACCGGTTCGCGGATAGGACCTTGCAGATGCAGAAGAACATGGCCGACTACAATACGTCTCTCGAGGGAGCCATTACCCAGCACGGCCAAGGCATGGATGCCTGGGACCAAAAGGAGGTTGAGCTGTTGGAGGAAGTCAAGAAGTCGCGCGATCAGATCAAGACAAAGTTGAAAGACGACTGGAACGCGGCAGAGGAACGCAGCACGTCCATACGAACCACAGCGAACCAAGTGCATGCTGAGACCGTGCGCGTGGTGGGTGTTCAGATTGATGATTTGGACATCCAGATGGAAGCTATGGACGACTTTGTGGCTCGTGCCAAGTCTGAGAGCAACGCCCATCATGACACGCATTCGCAATCCCTCCAGGCTCTGTACAACACGGTGGATCAGTCATTTGGCAATATCTCTACTCACTTCAAGACCACGTTTGATCGCGTCAAGAACCTCGGCGAGGTCATGGACCTTGACGCCAGCGATCTGCACGACAGCCTTGAGCCTCTGACTAGTCAAATATGCCAACCACTATCGGGCCTGCGCGACCAGATTGGCAAGACGGCACTCCAGGATTATCGGCCCACTGGAGAAACACCTCAGAAGGCACAGTACCAGTTCCCCACGAATTTGCCTCGTACCCATACACAAGACGCCATCCTTTCGAAGCTTGATGAAGACCTTTCTGGCCTAACCGAGGCCGAAGAGGATGATGCCGACGACAATACGATTGTCTTTACCGACCTGGACGCCCCTTCAAGGAAGACTAGCAAGACAAGCACACCAGAACGTCCATCGATTGAGAGCACCTCAGATAGGAGTGCGAGCCTGCGCGAAGTCAACCCCAACGTGTCAACGAGTCTCTCCGCCAGCGGTATTTCCTTTGAACCCCGCTCAAGCACCATGTCCCTCGCATCGGATAACTCGCTGTTCAAGCGCAGCGCCCGTCCCGCGCGAGCGAGTCTAGGGAAGCATAATAAGGTTGGCGAGGGGCGTGAAAATTTACCCCTGACGGCTTTAGCGGAGAGTATGGCTAGAAGAAAGAGCCCGCGGATAAATTAAAACACAAAAAATGAGAAAAGAAAAGAAAAGAAACAAAAGACGTCAAACTAAGATTTGGTATAATGACTTGGTTAGACAAAAAAAAAACGATTTGGCCTTGTTGTTTTATGTTGACTTTTACGCGGAAGGGGAGGGAATCTGATTTGCCTACATTTGCAAGCGATGTATGTATGCGTGTTCACGCATCCATTGCCCCTTTTTACCATCATCATTGTATTGTCTTCCAAGGAGGGAAGGGGAGGGGGGGAATCACGGAGTTTTTAGGTCGGTCATGAGCGGTGTAAAGCGCAATCTTGTTTTTTCTTTTGTCGGCTATACAATACTAGCCTTGGGTTGGATTCCAGCTTCTCTGGGAAAGGGTTGGTTGGGTACTTATGGGTGGTTTTTTCGTCTTGTTTTTGTTATTGTCCAGTCATGGACGATGGATGGATTGGGGTGGGCTGGGTATCCTGATTTTTTTCATATTCATGATGTTTGTGTTTAGGGTTATTGAGCATTTGATACCCGATTGTGTTTTGTTCCCTTTATTTCCATCTTATTTTAGTCTTGGTTTCTAGATATTAACATGATGAAGATAAAATTTCTTATTAAATAATATAAGAAATTATAAACAATTATATGAAATTGAGGTTTACTTGTTACCAATGTTTTTTTTTTCAAAACAAATTTTTTTATCATGTATTAAAATATAAATGAATAAAGCCTTCAATAAACGAATCTAAATAATATCCGCAATGAAATCTATAACTTCTATAATATCCCATGGAACACAATTATCATCCAATTCCACTACAAAGCAACCAATCCTTTCAAAAGTATTATCTCTAACCTTTTGAAGAACAAGTCCACGCCATGTATCCCCCCGCCTACAAAGCCATAAACAAAAGATATCCAAGCAACCAGGTGCATCAAGGTTGAAAAGGTAGTCTGCCCCAAATACGTAGTGATGAGGTTCATCATCTTTGTTGAAAGGCATGTTATCGAAAGCAGCAATCTTCCATTCAGGCCGTTGAGGATCTACTTCTGGCGAAGTTGTCCAGGTAAGTACGCAAGGCGTAACCTTGCCGCTGAGTGTTATGACTCCTGAGTCAATACACCCAAAGGGATCACCGTCGACTGGATGGCATTCTGCTTTCAATATCTTGGCGTGAGACTCGGTTCCTGTATCTGGCACGACGTTTTGTTCCAGCTCCCAGGAAGCAATCTTGCAAAACTTCCATGAGAGGGAACCAAACGCAGATGCCCAGGACCATGACGGCGCCCTTGGCTCGGCGGGACGATGCCTCTGAACCTCGTCATAAACGATGAACCATAGCAATGACTCTAGCAACGTACTCTTCCACATTCCGGCCAAATAACAATCGCCGGGACTGAGTTGAGCTATTTTCCTGGCGATGCTCGAGAGGGCTGGTAACCGGTCTTTGTCATATGTCATCTTGAGTGCTGTATAGTTCTCGACAAGTTCAGGCCAGGACCAAACCATGGAGGCTTTTCGGTTCGTCGCTTGTAGTGTCCGATATATCCGCACCTTGTTGGTCTGATGAAACATGCTGCCCTCTTCACATTGGCAATCTGCGTCCTCTTTGCATTCGAACAATAGCTCGAAACTGCAGAAATGGAGCATACGAGACGAGAGGACTTGTTCTTGATATACCCAAGCGCGCTCAAGAAGGGGAAATTCCCTGTTTCTAACTTCATAAGAATTTCGGTTGTCAAAATGCGGAATCGCTTCCCGCACATAAACCGTACTTCCTTGGCTCTCAAACTGTGGTGTGCCGTAGATAAATTTTCGCTCGTAGGCTTCCTGAGGAGTAGATCGATAACAACCGCCGTTTCCATGTGAGGATGCTGTTGCTGCCAACGTCAAGTACGCATTCTCATAGATGGTATGCATCTGTGGCGCTTCTTTAAGCCAATCTTGCTTATCTTCTTGAATTATGCACAACGCATCAATCCAGAGATATCGTACACGTAGTCGTCGGGTCATATCAATGGCCTCCTGGAAAGATCTCGGCAGTGTCTCAATTGCTATATCCTTTGTTCTAAGGTGAAGATTCTGTCGTGTAGTCTTCCCGCTTGCTTGCAGCTGGCCCCAGCAGTGGCTTAAGCACAAGTACCGACCAGGCTCATTACTTGTCAAATAGAGCCTCAGGCCTGTTCCTGGCGCTTCAACATCCAAAACTCTTGTTGGAAGTGGCGGCAATACCGATAAATCGTGGCATTTGTGAAGCTTGTTACACTTTTCGATCTGAGTGATAGCCCATTGAAGACTTTGTGGGGAAGATGTCTCTCTCTCAAGTGAACGTGATGGAAAAGCAAAGCATGAGATCTTTTGGGCATGAATTTGCTCAGCTTTTCATCAAGAGTCAACACATTTCTTCGCATATTTTCTTCTTGGGACTAAATCACTTACTCGGTATATAAAATATTCGAAGCTCAATGAATTTATCGCCGGTAGCCCAGAATAAACGAAATGGTTGGTGTGGAGTGACCTTGCTTGATGGACTTCCTTCTTCCCAAGATATCAAGCCAGCCTCACGAGTTTGCTCATCTGGCTCATAGCTAATAGCAATGTCGAGCAGCAACTTACACATTGCACAGGACTTTGCAGATGTTATAAGAGATTTGAATACAACAGATGATCTTCGGGTATTGGCATTGCGTCTTTGCTGAAGACATATCTCGCATCCTGGGTAAGCCGGTTTATTTACGTGGGAGAAAAGCGGTTTGGGAGAAATGTGCTTTTTATCTGGGTAGCAGCGGAGCCACTGCCAAAGTAGCTGCAGTGAACGATGAGGCATTGAAAGGGAATCCAATAATAAAGGTGTTGATATAATGAAATACTGGGAAATATATAATGATAACTTAATATATAAGGTGTTGTATGAGGCAAGTGAAATAATATAAATGTGAAATATATACGGCTTTATAATTGCAGCCCAACTTTGTTCAACGACGTGATTGCTACCTAATGGGCAGTAATGAAGCCAAGGTCCAATTGTGTAAGACAACATATCATTTAGCACAATACAAAGAATGCAGAAATTAGTAATTCAAGTTACCCAATGCCGCAAAGGAAACATAGTCAATCGAGTCTTTTTATCATCATTGTATGATATTCCGATTTAGTCATACTGTCCCGATATACGTCAGGGACAAAAGGCTGCGAACGGAAAAAAATAAAAATACACCAAGTTTAGGAGGGGGTAATCTATTGTTGTTTAATCCGCAATAGTTACCGCAGAACTAGATATGATAAGTAAATACAACTTCAATATAAAATATCCATTAATTGTTATTAATTTTAAACTTTTAATATTAGTATAAATATTTTGCAGATTTAATTATTGATTTTTGAAAACTGCGACTTTTGGTGATACTTAGTACATCGTTCGCAGACGTTTGTCCCATGACTGTAGCCCGACGAGAATTCGATTTCTCTTGGCCAAGTCCATGTGCCGATTGTTTGTACTGTTTGATGGAAGCCCATGATTATATATACATAACTGCATATTATTGCCAGTACCTCTTCCAGAATTCTTTGCAGTCAACTCCAATACTATAAATCTAAAAATCACGCCGTTGATCAAATGAATTCTTGCTACAAAGCCAGCATCCCACCCAAATAAACAGAAAAAATAGTTGGCCTCTCAAAAGATCTTGGTAATGCTCTCCCTCGAAATCACGCTATTCTGCTTCTCGTCTCTCTTGACCCTGAAAAAGCTATCGCAAAAGTCGCTGCACCGCATGTGCCTCAAAAACTCCTCATCGTGCGTAATCACAATGAGCTGAAAGTTGCTCTGCTGCTGCCTCGTTTGGATGATGCGATGCAGGCTCTCGGCCAGGGACTTGATGTTGTCCCTGTCGAGGTTCGTCGTCGGCTCGTCCAGGGCAATGAGCCCGCAGTTGACGCCAAACGACTCCGCCAGGGCCAGGCGGATGACGATGCTGGCAAGTACCTTTTGGCCGGCCGAGCAGCGGCCGCGCATGTCCATCTCGGTGTCCTGCTTGACCATGCAGAGGCGGTAGTTGTAGGTGCGCTTGCCGGTGGTGTTGCTTTCGTGGTCGGAGCGGATGAGGATGGTATCAATGTCGGTACCCTGATAGGTCGTCTGCCAGAGTTCGCTGGCGATGCGGTTGACCTCTGCCATCTTCATGGCGTGGAATTGCATCACCGCCTTGTCGACGGTAGCAGTGCACTGAACCAGGTCTTGGATCGCAGCCTTGGTGGTTTCGACTCGGATATGGGATTCACGATACTTTTGCTTGGCGTTCTCGTAATCAAGCTCCCATTCTTTCAGGAGACGACCAAGCTCCTCATCCTTTGACTTCATTGCTCCCATAATAGATCCACGCTCGACCAACAGCCGGCTGGACGCATCCTCTAGTGAGCGAGCTTCTGCTTGGAGGCGTTCGTAGTCCTCGTGAGCATTACGATCCTCTAGTTCTGCAATCTCCGTCCGTAGAACGTCGAGCGTTCGCAAATGCTTGCGATAGTTGATATTGTCGCTAATATTCTTCTTTCTACGGTCCCCGCTTTCAATGTCTTGCTTGAGCTTGTTCGTCCGCACGGTAAGATCAGCAATCTCCTTCTCCGTGGTGCTGATGGCTGTCTCGAGAGAAGCAATGGCCCGTTGGTTGGACGCAAGGTTGGTCAGGCCACCACGGTCAAGATAGTCTTGGATATCACTATCCATCATCTTAATTTCGCTCATCGAGTTCATGATGGCATCACGCTGGTCGGTAATGACTTGCTCCTTGGATCGACCCAAACGAAGCGTTTCATCGCGAGCCGACCGTGCCTCCACAATGCCCGGCTCGATCTTTTCCAGCTCTTCATCAGTTCGTTGAATCACTTCGCGCTGGTGGGTGTAATCTTCCTTGAGATTCTGGATCTGGTTTTGAAGATCTTTCTTCTTCTCGAGCTGCCCTGCGGTGCGACCAACCTTGTTTCGCAGCTCACTCTTCTCAAGCTCGAGCGAATTGATTTGATCCTTCATCCGCTGTCTATCAGACGTGAGCTTGGAGACTTTATTCTTGAGGCCTCTGAGCTGCTCAGATAGGTTTGACTGAAGCTCATGAATCTCGTCGACGCTACGAGAAACCCCGCTGGATGATTGTTGAGAAACGATGCGTTCCACCTGAGCCTCGGCATCTTTGATTTCTTTGATAGTTTGGGAGATGTTGGTGACTGTTTTGGCTAGATCTCCAAGATCTCTCAGCTTCTCTTCCTCTGCAACAACAAGAGCGTCTTCTTCCTCAAGCTGTTTTTCCAGAGATTCAAATTCTCCTTCTGCAATTTTCCACTCGCTCTGGAGGGCAGGCAGCTCCGCAGAAAGCCGTTCATACGTGTCGAACGCTGAGCGAACCGCACGTAACGACTCCAAATTGTCCACAGCCTCTTTCAGGTCCTTTTCCGTATCGACTTTGCCTTTCGGGTCCAAGTGCTTATCAATCTTCTTGCTAAGGCGATCGAGAGCTGCGCTTTGGCTATCATCGAAATGACGGTCGCAAAGCCTACATCTCTTCTGAGTGTCCAGCATACGCTTGCACTTGTTGTAATAGTCAAAGAGAGCGTCAAAGAGGCTAAGATCAGTCCGGAGCTCTTCAACTTGCTGTTCAACAGCAGCAACTTCTTCCACATAGTCTTCCACAACAGCACTGTCGCGGACGTTTTGCAGGGCATCAACAACTTCTTGTTTGCTCCGGGTCATCTCCCGAGTCTTTTTCTCATGCATTTCTTTTGCATTTTTGAGCTTGTACTCCACCTTTTGCTGCTTCTGCCTCGTCTGATCTCGGAGTTTTTGTGCATCTTGAAGGGCTTTGCTTCGACGTCCCTGGACGGACTGGAAGCGGGAGTCCAGTGATGCTGGCTCCCAATCGGACCCAAGGACATTATCGAGCTTGGGTTTCCAAGTCTCAGTCAGTGTTTCAAGCTTTCTTTTCCGATCTGCCATCTCTTTCTTGCGGAGCTCAAGCTGTGCTCGCTCTGATGCCAGTCTCGTGCATTCGACCAGCTCGCGACCCAGCTTCTCATTTTCGCTTTCTAGTTGCCACTGTTTGTCGTTGGCCTCGGACAACTGTTGATCCCAGTTGGACTTATCCATTTCCTGTTGGACATGCTTGAGCCTAGACTCAAGTTCTTCAAGCTGTCCATCCAAGAGGGCCTTGGCTCCCTCATCGACATCAATGCTCCCGGCCTCGTTTTGCAGGACACTAGTACGTTTTTCAACGGCTCCCATCCGCTGTTTTGCAGAAATTCGATCTTGCGTCCTGGCCGCTTTGCGACCCTCAAGCTCCGTAATGACGCCTGTAGCCTTGTCCAATTCCGCAGCGTTCTCTTTCTGTAGTCGTTCCAGATCCCTCTTCTTTTCTGTCAAGAGCCTCTGAATCTTGTCTTGGAAAGATTGTATGTGTTGATCATTTAGGTCCTCGTCAAACCCTCTCAGGCTGTATTGTCGTGCGGCTTCTTGAATCAATTCCACTCTTGCTTTCAGCTGGCGCTCATACTTGTCTTTGTCTGATTGGTGTTTCCCTTGCTCGGCCAACTTTGCCGACTGGGTTTGGCGATGCTTGGTCAGCTCACTTTGGAGCTCAGCGTATTGAGCCTTGTTCTGCTCGGCTTCTTGCTGGTAGCGACCCATGCTCTCTTCATATTGCACCAAGAAGCGCTCGAGGGTCGCATCGTCCTCATTCAATTCATCAATTGTCTGTCTGAGCTCGTCAACGGCGTCCTGCCTATATTCAAGCTGCTCCCGTTTGTTGTTGAGATTCTGCACGATTTGGAGGAAACTATTGGCTTGCTCGTGTTTTTGGCGTAGCTTCACCTGGGATTCCTCCATCTGTTTTGTAATCGATTCGCACTCCGTGCGAGCTGCGTCGATTTCTGCCGACAGCGCAGTCATATGCCTTTCGGCCCGTTCACCCTTGTCTTTCATGACCTTGTTGTGCGCCTCATCCTTTTGGAACCCCGAAAGCTCCTCCAACTGCTTTTTCCGGACCATCTTTAAATTTTCAATGACCTTTGTGTATTTCAAAGCCTCAAAAATTTCATCAAAACGCTTCTTCAAGGCTCCAGGTTCGCTCAACGGCCAAAGGGACTCGTCTTGGTGACAGAATATTACGGCGTCGAGAATAGCTGGGGAAACGCCGAGCCGCTCAGGAATCATCTCGTCAAGCTGCGCCTGTCTAGTTGATGTCGTTGTTCGCTCTCCATTATTGACGACGACTAATGAGCAATCAAGCGTCTTTTGAGTGCGGGTGTTCTTCTTCGCGGTGAGCTGTATGCTTCGAGTTGCCACATGCTGTCGATCGTTGATGGAGCGGAATTGCAGTTTGACCTGGGCCAAGACTTCTTTTTCTCCAGCGAGCTGGAAGGAAGCAGTTGGTATTAGCGAGGAATATGCATGATGCTGGCACAGACACCAACGGCGATGAATTTTGGCCATACCTTTGGGTCGTGAATAAAGGCACCGCCCTTGCTGTTGGGGGGCAGTTCGCCCGTAGTTGCATATTTCAGGCATTCAATGATTGTTGTCTTTCCGGATCCGTTGTAGCCAACAATGAGCGTCAACGGGGTATTGAACTGAATGGCCTCCCGAACAGCCGGGCTGAAGGACCGGACGCCGGAGATGGAGAGCTTGTCTATCCTCGACATGATGAGAAGAGTGTTTGGCCAGAGACGACGATTATGTGTAGGTCCAATGATGGATGAGCTGCCGCTAGTTGTGTCTGTTAGCGCCGAGGCATTTCCTTTGATGCTGTCGCCTTGGTGTTGTGGCCTTGGGCGTGGGTTTCGAATTCACACACAGAGACAATGACAAAGTACGCCGACGATACCCAAGCAGCTTCACTCACGCCAAACGCGCTCCAGGCAGCGGGTCACGCGTTGAGAGCTGTGCGCTTAACTGATGCGTCCTCACGTGCGATAAGATTAGCAAGATGGCACAGGATTTATCGACCCCTCCTTTTAGAAGTGGTCCGGCGAGAACCAAATAAGGTCGCACTTGTGGCACGCAGCCACTGACGACGTTGGGGCTGGAGGGCGTCCCACCGGTCGGAATGTAGCATCACCGATAGCGAATGTGCAATCAATGGGATGGATGCTGATGCCAAAGCTATTAGGTAGGGTGGCGATGACAGCATTGCTTTGTGTGTCGCGTGAATCTTGGTGAGCTATGTTTCTTTCTTAGATGGCCAACTTGTACTGCGAGCTCGGCAGTACTTGATGCGCCCTGCTGTTTGCATGCCCCGAGTAGTCGCAGGCATTGTACGGCTGTGAAGGGATGGAATCTTTCAGCACCTCCACTCCCACTAAATCTCCTCCAGGGCTACATAGGTACAGTAGAGTACAGTAGGTACAGTAGCCAATCTGCCGTGCTGTTTCTCCGGAGTGGCCCCCCCAGGAACAGCCAAAAAGTTGATGCATCAGGAAGCGATTTCCCTTGCATTGCCCATCTCGCCCCCCCGGAGATGCGCGCTGCTAGCCAGCCAAGTGGTCGAATCGGATGGGCGAGTTGCTTGACCCGAGGCCTGCTAGCTGTGAGAGCCTGCACGACCAGCACGACGCCGGTCAGCAGGTCGTTTCAGCGCACCAAGTTTGATGTGTCGCCGGGCGTCCATGCTGTGCTCCCTCGGCTGAAGATGCTGGACCACATAGCCGTGAATCACTACCCGTGGACATGATGCTCAAAGCACAAGCAACCTGGAAATCAAAACGTCTTCCATGTAGTCCATGTACCACCTGTCCGGGCGTGACATCAAACAAACAGAGCGGGTGCTGGAAGAGCCGCTTTTTTAGCGTTGCAATCGACATCTTCCCGCTGCAGCCGCTAGCCAGCGCCGCAGGATTAGGGAGGTCGGGTTGCGTCATCCCTGGACAAGTTGGACTTTGCTCTCCTCAAACTGGCTCAGCTGTTCCAAGGGCACCCCGCTAGGCTCTCGCTCTGCTGCCAGACATTGTTGCTGCTAGCGGAGCCAGACGATCAATCCCAGCGTTGGCCGCCGGGGAGCGTCTTCGTGGTTAGCATGCGCTGGTAGTACGGCTTAGCAGCAGGAATAGTTCCATAGAAGGGGCTCAGGAAAAAGCAATTATGGAAGACGATGAAACAACCCCAATCAAGCACTTGCAAAGCCCGCTTTTCACGGGGCCATTTCTCCGGCCGGGCTCATGTACAAAGGACAGCCAGTCCAGGGCAAGTCGGTAGGTGGTGATTTTGCCTGGACTCCGTCAATGCCATCAGTCAGCCCGCTGCTAGCAGGAAAAAACCCTGGTCCCAGCTTTGGCTGAAATATCGCATCCATCTGATTCGAAAGTCTCGCTCTGGCTTCCCTCGTGTGAGTTTCTGCTGTATTAGTACCTCACTCACAGACGACTTCTCTCACCAACGTCCATCCATCTTCTTCACTACTGCAGCAACATCGCGCGCTACACGACAGCTTCCCTCCCTGGACAGCCAAGCTGCTGCACCAAGTTCGCGGCCCCTCACCAACGCAAAAGCCCCCCAGGACGCCGCTGAACGCAGAGCTGCTGCCGCTAATCTGACCTGACTGGCCCGGGCCTTGACGAGTAGAATGCAAAAGCTGGTGGGATAGCACATACCGCGACCATGGCTGGCCCACCTCCCCTCCAGGGCGATTTCTTCGGCTTCGGCAACCTCGACGTCCTGCCCATGTTCTCCGCAGCAGGCCACAGCCAAGGCATCCCAGATTCTCATGCGCTGCGGCTCGACGACGACGACGAAGACGACGCAATGGCACTTCTCGAGGGCAACATGATGGCGCAGTTCGCCGGCGACATGGGCCTCGGCCTGGACCCGATGGCCGCCTTGATGGACGGAGACGGCAGCGACATCATCTCGCCTGACGCCATCCTCAAGGCTCAAGATCAGTTCAACACCGTCGCCAACGACGTTCCCGGTGCGGGGCCGTTGCCGGCCGCGGCCTTTGCACCGCCCGCCATACCCAGCAACAACCCGCTGACCGAGTTCACCAAGAGACGCAACTGGCCGGCAAAGGTGGTGGAGGAGCTCAGAGACTTGCTGCAGATTCTCGATTCCAACGGCCGCATCAGATACGTGTCTCCCAGCATCACCGCACTCGCCGGGTACACTACGGAAGAGGTCCAAGACACCTTTTTGAAGCATCTCATCCATCCCGACGACCAGGGCGTGCTCGTTTCTGAGCTTCACGAATCCATCGCAACCGGCAACCCGCTGCGCATGTTCTACCGGATGAAGAAGAAGGATGGCACCTATGCCATCTTCGAAGCCGTGGGTCATGCCCACATTGCGGCTGCCCGATTTGCACCAAATCCAAACAATCAGTCTCCCTTTTGCCAGGCCGTCTTCATGATGGCCCGTCTCTACCCAACCAAGAACGCCGCGCTATTAGACTCATTCCTGGACCATAAGATTGAAAACGAGAGGCTACGACGTCGCATAGCCGAGCTACGGAGAGAGGAGGAGGCGGAAGCAGAGGAGGCGCAAAGGCAGTGGACACAGAGCCGAGAGGGCCGGTCGGATGTCACTCCATCCGAGGATGCTGGCCGATCGTCATCAACAGCATACGCGCCCTCCAATTTGCCCACCGACATTTCCATGTCATCGGGAAATACCGATGGCGCACTGACTCGAAAGAACCTGGAAGACGTCACAGCAAGCAGTCGCCAGGATTCGCTGCGTGATAAAATGGCTCGATTCGAAGCATCATCCGCAGACACCATAGCTCTATTGACAGGCATAGAGAATGGCGAGCGGATGAGCAACGGCAACCGGAGCCCTACCCTTATCAAGGGCGATGCGGGAATCGCCATGCCCATGGATAGGGATTCCAGATCAGGCGATAAGAAGAAGAAACTTAAGCTGGCAGAAGAATATGTCTGCACAGATTGCGGTATAGGGGCCCTGTTCGATATTGTTCTCTTTTTTTTCCAGCCACTAATACAACACTTAGGCACTCTTGATTCTCCAGAATGGCGAAAGGGGCCCAACGGCCCAAAGACACTCTGTAACGCCTGCGGATTACGGTGGGCGAAGAAAGAAAAGAAGCGCAATAGCATCGGCACACCGTTGGCCAAGCCAGCTCAGGCCTAGAGGGTGAAAGATGTTGGTCAGAAAGAAAACGACGGAGAGAGGGAAGGGACAATCTATACAAATTACGGCTGGACCGGAACTCGCTGACTGCTTTTATGATGGAATCCTGATACGGAGTTTGGTTGGGCTCAAAGACGCATATATCACTGGCGACAGGAACTTGCTTACACGATTATCGTTCTTGTTGTTATTGTTCAGGGGAGGAAGAATGCATGGGGGTTTTCTATTTCTTTTCTTTTCTTTTTTCTTTCTTCTTTTTTCCTTGTTTCATTGGGTTGGGCAACGGGCATCTGTACACGAATATGATACCACTGGGAGGCGACAATTGGAAGCAGAACTAGACGGAAATGGATGAACATGGTGAATTACCAATTGGGTCATCATGCTTTCTGCTGATATTTTTGGAAACACGCATAGAATACGGCTTTGCTCATGTTATTGATTGGTTTTTTTTTTAATTTTTTTTTATTTTTCAATTGAAATATTTCATGCTGCGTGAGGTATTGCTAAATCTGGCCTTTTCAAAGCAATCGGTATTGTCAGCAGGAGATTCATTGATTCAGGTCACGCACAAAATCAAAGGTATGACAGGTAGCTCTTTCACGAGTTCATCTATAGAATCAAGGGAAATTGAAGGGGCTATCAAACCAAAAAGAAGCTCGTATTGCCTGTGTTGCCCAAGTATAGCAATTGCATTCGTACGACATGATTCCAAGAGGCACTGCCTCCGGGTAAGCAAACATGCTGGGCTGCTACATCAGAACACCAATCTCCTCCATTCTTCATCTACCAGCCACAAGAAAAGGGAAAATGATTTACTGTTTGGCCATGGTACTTTTGTTTCCGGACCCCTTTCACATGAAATCCTCTGGACGGGATAAACTCCAAGCAACCCCGCGTCTTTGCTCGATGTAGCTCCCGCATTAATTACCTAAGGTAGTAGGCTCTGGAATTAGCTTTGGATTCAATCTCCACAAGCTCAGAGCTACCTCGGATGTGTGCCTACCGGCTTAACCTACATCAACTCACTCAACCACCTCACAAAATAAATGAATCAAGCGCTTAAAAAAAATAACTGTTATTTTCTCAATCCGTGCTTTGGCCACTATTCTCCATCGCTCCACCATAGCCTCCTAGTCGGTGCGACAAGTTGCGCCTATCATCAACTAGAGGCGTCTCGGTTCGTGTAAGCACGGATGATCAATAAGGATCTGGAACAACACTGACCTCATGCCCACAGGATTGGCGCTTCACCTTTCATCCTCCCCCAAACAAAACATCCGAGGCATTTTGAAACCCGTTATTCATCAATTGAGAAACATGGCTCCCCCGGAGAGCTTCGCCAATTATCCTGATGTCCTGGAAGGGCCGGATACGGGATACGATCAGAGGATAGATCATAACCCGGTCCTTCGGGGCTTGCCTCTCGTTGTGGGTTCTGGAATGTACGTTTTCTCTCTTCATAAACGATGAGGGAAAATGAAGAGAGGAGATCAATTGGAGTGTAGAAGCTAATCCGAAGGGTCCCGTTACAGTATATGCAACGTCGGTGTTGTGGCAAGGTACTTTTACGGAAACACGGGAATGACCAAGATCAAAGACATGCCAGCCCTGGACGATGTCTCGCCTACTTTTCACGTATGTACACAACCATCACCTTTAATGCCCAGCGCAGTCATTGGCTGATGAGACTTTATGTGATGGCAGCCCACCGTCACTCCGTTGGGCCAGACAGGGCCCATGGTTGAGTTCGAGCCGGAGCTGCTCATCTCCCAGCACGCCTCATCCAAGGCGCGATACTACTCCGCCGGCGACTATCACGAGCTGTACAAGAGCGGCCGCGCCACTCCATTGCAGGTCATTGAGACGCTGCTCGGCCTGACCACCGGCGCGGGCAAGTACAGCGACGCCTGGGCGGATGCTCACGGCGCCGAGAAGCTCGCTGTCGAAGCGGCCAAGGCGTCGACGGAGCGGTGGGCTGCGGGGAACCCCTTGGGTATTTTGGACGGCGTGCCGATTGGAGTCAAGGATGATACGGAGGTCAAGGGCTACGTCAGCCATTTCGGCCTAAAGTACAATGCTTCGCTGCCGTTGTTTGCGCCGCAGGAGGAGACGGTGTGGCCGGTGAAGAAGCTGCAGGAGGCGGGAGCCATTGTGCTGGGCAAGAATAAGATGCATGAGCTGGGATCAGGTATAGTAGCAGCCGTTTGCATTCATATGGTACAGCTGATGTGTGTATACTGACGCATGTGCAAACAGATACCAGCGGCGTCAATGTAAATCTCGTCCCATATCCCCGTTACGCTCACATGCAGACAAGATGATATACTAACACACTCAACCATCTCATAGGTCGCCCAAGGAACACCCACCAACCACCTCAACAAGGCCTACTATCCTGGAGGCTCATCCAACGGCGGCGGGTCGTCCCTGGGAGCCGGCGTCGTGCCCATCTGCATCGGCACGGACGCCGGCGGCAGCGTCCGCATCCCGGCCAACTTCAACGGCGTCTACGGCCTCAAGCCCACCCACCACCGCACCCACGTCATGCAGATGACCATGTGCGTCACGGGCCCTCTGGCCGCAACCGTCGCCGACCTGACCATTGCCTACCGCGTCATGTCCCAGCCCGACGCCTCCTGTCCGACGCAGGGCCGCTTCGCCCTCTCGCTGCCGCCGGCCCCCTCTGCAAGGCGAGTCATGGGCGTCTTCCGCGACTGGTTCAACAAGGCCGACCTCCCCGTGAGGGAAATGTGCGACCGGGCGCTCGACCACTTCGCCTCCCAGCGCGGGTACGAAATCGTCGACATCAGCCTCCCCTTCCTGCCCGAGATCCAAGTCGCCCACGCCGCGCTCTGCATCGCCGAGATGGCGGAAAAGAACCGCCGCCGGACCCCGAACCCGGCGCACCACCAGTCGCTTGCCGGCCCGGCCAACAGGATCCTGCTCACCATGGGCGCTCTGGTGTCCGGTGCCGACTATCTCAAGGCAAACGCCCTCCGCACCGTCTTGATGAACCACCTCGCGTTTCTGTTCCAAAAGTACCCGGGCCTGTTGATCATGACGCCCACGTCGCCCCTGATTGGATGGCCGCGGTCGCCCAGCGACGACTCCCACGGCATGAGTGACACCAACATCACCATGCGAAACATGTCGTACGTCTTCCTGGCCAACATGACTGGCACCCCGTCCATCTCGGCGCCGGTAGGGTACGTCGATCCCGAGCAGGGGGAGGGCAAGTTGCCCATTAGCTTGCTCGCCACGGGTGAGTGGGGGAGCGAAGAGCAGCTGCTGGCGTGGGCGAGGGAGGCTGAAGAATATCTGCACGAGACGTATCCCGAGGGACGTAGACGGCCTGATACATGGGTGGATGTTATGGCATTGGCTCGAGGTCAGCAGTAGACCAGGGGAGGGATTAGAAACGTCATATGGGTAGGCCGCATTTTCAAATTGAGTGACATGAAAAACTCTTGGGGGGTTATCGTCAGTTTTGGGCGTCAAATCTTCGTAAGCTCATCATTGATCAAGTCTACCCTCTAAGGGGCCAGACGACTGCTACATCACGTAGACCAAACACATATACATGAAATCGTCAAGGCAGAGCCGTCAAAGCTTAAAAAAACTTGGAAGCAATGCCTAAAAGCCCAGAGGGTCCTTGCTGACCACCTCCCTGGCTCTTGAGGTACATCTTCAAGGCCATCTCACCAGCCTGCTGGATCGCGGACTCCTTGTTCGCATCGGGTGCCACCTTTCCATCAGCGGCCTTGTTATCGAAGAGCTGATTACACGTCAGCAAGAGAAGAAATCAGAACGCGATATTTCCTCCTGTGGTATCTCACCTTGCTGGCCTCGGACAAGGCCAAGCCCAGGAACGCGCCCTGGCTCTGGTTGCCGCCGGTCTCGCCCTGCGTGAACTTCTTGAGAGCTTGTAAGGCGGCGGCGGAGCCGAGGCTGCCGGAACTTAGGTTGTCGGCGCCCTGCTCGTAGGTCTCTTGGTGCTTGCGGATGGCGTCTATATTCGAGGCGGGGAATTCAATGGTTAGCATAGAGCTCTTTATATGTACGCCGAAAGTCTACCCGTTACACCAGATAGGCAGCTCGTTGCAACATATCGACTAACCTTGCTCATCGAGGTCGCTGTTGGCCAAGTGGCTCTTCTGCTGGCCGAGGCTGCTGATGACGTTGGAAAAGATGGCGTTGTTGCCAGATGAGCCGGCGTATTCGGAGGCGTGCTGGTGCGCAGTGCGCAGGTCTTCGTCCTCGTGGTGGAAATCACCGCCAGCGGGATAGTTGCCTCCGTATGCATCTATAGAATCGCGACATCGTATCGAGTTAGGGGTGACAAGCTTCGGAGTAGCTGCGTTACCAGGGGCGGGGGAGGGAACTGACTGTTTCCGGGAGGGAGATGACTTCCTGTAGAGCGAAAGAGTTTGTCAGCTCCAAGTCACCATTGCAGAGTAGAGTGATGGCTGTTTGAGAAAGGGATTCGTGTCTGATGAAGGTAAATGGTGATGGCGAGACGAATGCAATGCGGCACATACCTTGGTTGCCAGAGCCAGAGCCAGAGAACTGTTCCTTGAGCTGCTGCTCCAGGTATTCCTTGCCGGCGTTTACGAAGGAGTCCATTTTGATATGTTATCGGTCTAGAATAGTCAAAGACGTTGCAAAGAGTTTGAATGCGCTATTCAATGGCAGAGATGGCCGAATATTAAAATATAGAGTATTGGGACCAATGGAATATATACGGCGCTACGTAAGGCCTCTGCATGCACCACGAAGCTACCCCGCCGTGCGAGCTGCAACAGAAGATGAACCTGGCCCAGCTGAAAAGGCCGAGCTATTACAGACTATGGCCATTTCCATTGCGGGGTGGTCACTCGTTGGTCTTTAGGGGTAAAACCAAATACTTCAAAAAAGCATCCATTCCAGCAGTGTTGACGATGAGTTGTTTAAGCGTATATTGTAGTAGATGTCCGATGTACAGTAGCTGAGGTTGAGCTGTAGCGGTTCTTCAGCTGGCTGGACCCCCGAATTGAAGAAGGGATCAACTGCACAAAATATCTACTGTAGCCTTGGCTGATCGATCCATTTGCATTAGCATTGAAGACGAGCAACGGTCATTTCGTGGGTAGCACCGGCACGTCTCTCCCGGGCTTTACCCACGCGCGGCCCGCCGAAGATGACGCGTAAACAATGCGTCCAATCACCGACTCCTTACCAAGTACGTGTACATACTTACTCCGTGCAGGCCATGCAAAGAACAAAAAGACCAAGATCTTAATCTCCATACAAAACGTCATTTCATTAAACGCACATTCATGCGATGGCCATTTCGCCGGATATCGGGGGGGAGGACCCCCATTGCAGCTAACCAGGCCACTACAGGACAGGCTGCTGCTAACTAAGATCGCAATGTGCCGGGCAAGCTGGGGGGAGGTGAGAACAAGCTAAAGCTTGGCGGCCTCTGTCAATGCGGCGCATGCGCTTCTAGCCCTGTACAGCCACGTTTTCAGTGGAGGCTGTTCTATCAAACTTTGATTATTGCATACATGCAATTCGGCTGCGAGCGAGATGATCAGAGCCTGCCCCCCCCCCATGCTGCCTGTATACCGTAAACACGTCCATGTTTGTGCGCTTTGCACATGACAGCACCCTGTTGATATCTTCCTTTTCTGTTCTGGTCCATCTGCAAGACAAGCGGAAATCTGCCCAGCCCAGCCCTGCCCCCCTCGAGGCACAAGTCCAGAGTCTCAGTTCTGTGACACGTACCAAACGTGATGGCTGTCCGGCTGCAGCGTCTCCGGGAGTGCCTCCTTGGCATACAAAATGGTAGGTTGTTGCCTACAACGTGCTTCAACGTGCTACCTACCAGCGGCCAGTTCTGTTGTATTTGCGCCTCTGTTTGTTTGGTCCAAGAAACAAAGGTCAATGTCACTGTTAGCATCAGTGCGGGTTGTCCGTTGTGCACGGGCATACCCAGCCCCTCGATCCGCCCGAGAGCAACCCCCTTAGATTGACATGTAGCGATGCCATTGGGCGCTCGGTATGCGTCTCGTCTGCGTCTGCGTCTGCCGTCCGCGTCTGAGACCCGAGGGCAGCCCAACAGCAGCACCGCAGTACCGCCAAACCGCATTCGCAGTTGCAAGACGCACCTTGCATCCTCTTGGGGGAACGCACATGCAATACGGGGTTTGCGGCGTGTTTCGGGGTGGCGCTGAGACGAACTGGTGTCAGCCAACCTCTCTCCCCTCCCCTTCCCAAGCGCGGCCACTGCTTTGCCAGGAACATGTTGGCCGGTTTTTGTGTCCCTTGAGATCCTCCTGAAATGTACAGGCCCGTTTGTTGTGGTTGCTTTGCAGCAAATGTTTTATACTCGAATGGATCATCCTATTCTCGACGCATACGAGCACTGCCTAGGTACCTACATAAATATCAAGGTACGAGCACTCGTAGGCTTGCAAGATATGTCCCGAACCGGCAAGTCGCCAGAAACCTCATCGCCTCGGCAGGGTCCCCCCAAAGGGTCCCTTCAAAAGAAAGAATACGGATTGCCGTAACTTGGCACTCTTTGGACCCCGTTTGCTGCCGTTGGTGCTCCACCGTACCGCGTCCGCAAGTGCGATAACGAGCGGTATACTGTACTCGGAGGTACGCACCCACTAACATTGACGTTAATCGACTCAGTTCAAAAGGGTCAACGGCATCAATTTTAATTGTCGCACAGGTCGGGCAGTGCGAGGAAACACCGGCACGGCTTCTTGATCCGTTTGGCTTGCAAATGACAAAGCACACTTGGTAGGGAGATTGTCCTCACGCCATTGAGGGTTGTGGCGGTCGGGAGGGTACCTGAAGAGCCTCAAGCCAGCAAAAGCCTCTTGCGACTGGATTAAAATAGCACGCAGTGGTGCTCGATACCTTAGCTGACTGCAGGATTCCAAAAATACCTACCGAGGTGCGGTCGGCTGACGCCACGATTTGTCTTGCCGTGGAGATGAGATGAGACTACGGAGTGCGATAGGAAAACCAGTTTGGTGCGTGTTGGTGCGCAACGATTTAAATTTCTTTTGTCTCGGTGCTTTTTTAGAAGCGATCATCGTCACTTTAAAATCATGTCCTCGGTAAGGGGGGATCGAATGGATGGCGACGAGGCGTCGGCACAGCCTCCACGTTCAAAGAACGGCACTCTGCGCTCCCGTCCGGCTCTAGGCCATGGATGCATGCGATGCAGACAAAGATGCATCGTGCTCACTGGCCCGCTTCGCTGATCTAGGGGAGCGAGTGCCTCGTATGGATGGATGGATCGCTGCAGTTTGCCGTCATCGCCGTCATCGTTGGCCAATACGACTTTTCAACCCTGAACCAAATGCTGGTGCTACGCGTGTGCCGTACTGGTACACTAACATTGCCCAATTCACATTGATCCATTCGAAAGCACCAAGCAATTAACATCAACATTGGACTGCTCACAGGGCACATGGCCGAGTGTGTCCTCGGGGGGCACTCGTACCTATGAGGTATTGATGTTAGTACAAGTATGTACTTCGTACTCCCGTATTAAACACATGTCTCACCATTCAAATCACCGGGCTCCAGCGCTGATCGCACGCCAACAGCTGCTAACGTCGCTCCAAGGCTCCGCCCAGTCAGCCCAGCCTAGGCATGCATGGCTCCCGGGAGAGGGACCCCCTTGCCGCTGTGCTGTGCTGTGCTTTGCTTTTGCTGCTTTCCACCCATGCCCGTCCCATTTTGATCCCGGCGAGGTACATACAAGCGCGACAGGTTAGCATGGAGGAGGTACATGATGCTGCACTGTGGTGTCGCCTCGTAACTTAAGTTGGCTGTACAGTACAGTACAGCACAGTACCGGCCTGCATTTGCGCCGTCAACGAGAATAACCGCACGGCAAAAGCTACTCCCCAGGTCGTAGTGTAGGCCAACAGATTGTATGTACGAGTACAGGTACTATAGAGGTAACAGACAGATGCAGTCGATGCGACGAGGCTAATCCTTAGGCTGCTCAAAGCGGCAGTACTCAATGTACCGCCTGGTACACACCCGCGGCCAAGGCAAGTGCACATAAGTACGGGTAGCTGCCCAGACGGCCAAGCTCAAAGAGCCATGGTCTCCCCTGCCTCGCGAAAGTGCGTTTCACCTTGACCCATCTAACCCTCGTCCCGACCAGAAGTTGCCCCCTGGCGCTCCTACCCAGACAGAATCTCGACTTTTAGTCCAGCGAAGCCTTTCTCGCCGCCTCCGCTTTCCGCGTTTTTTCCCTTTCTCTCCTCAAACCGCCTGCTATCTTTGTTCCAGTCTCTCGTTTGTTCCATGTTTTCGACCGATTAAGTGATTTCTATCAGCCCGATAGATTTCTTTCTTCTTCTTCCCGCATCTTACTCGGTGCCGCTTTGTTTATTCTTTTTTTTTTCTTATCAGCTCTTCAACACTCTCCCTCCCTACTCGACTCGACTTTTCCTTTCCACCAACCATCCTTCGATCGACGACGCTTCATCCATCATCGGCACCTATCGAGACGGCCTTCCCCAGCGTATTTTGAGCCTGGGAATGAATTAGTCGGCTCCGGTTCTTTGGGGCATCAGCAGCACTTTCGTTGTCCATTCATCGCTTCCCGCAGACTCCCGGTAGGAGTCAACCAGTTGCCCATCGTGGCGGCCACACAAGAAGCTCAGAACTTCCTGCTCCGAGGCGACCCGGCTTTCGACCAGAATGGCGCCCAGTATCACCACCGCTCCGTCAGCCAGAGCGGCGACTACGGCGCTGAATACGGACAGGCCTATCCCCAGGCATCATTAACACAGGCGCCCTATGCCCAGCCTACATATGCCGAAAACGCGAGCCTTCATCAAGACCCAGACACAACCGGTGCTGCAGGCGGCACTGGTAAAAAGTTTACTTTCCTAAAGGGCAGATGGCCCACAACCTTTCTTGCCATCACCGGTATCCAGGCTCTCATCAACCTGGCATTTGAAGCGTATGTCGACCAATATACTCCCCCTTTTCCCTTTTCTTTTCAATTCATGTCACAGCAATGCGCCAGATACTAAGACTCTCACAGCTATGTTTTCGGCAAATTTCAGCTGAGCTTGGGTGACTACATCACCGATCCCCAGGTTCAATCTCAATACAAGACAATCCCTACCTTTCTTACTCTATTCATCTTCGGTTTCCTTTACGAGTTGATCATCGTCCTGGATGCGCTACGTCTGAAGAACACCATTCAGATCATCGGTGTCTGTATCGCCAACCTGGCTCTTTTGGTTTATGCGGCCCTCCAGATTGAGCAGATTCAGGTCGCCCTCGGAATTCTGGAAGACCACGGTTCATTGGAACAGGGCATCACCTCTGCTATGCTCTGGGACGATATCAAGGCTTACCTCATTGCCTCCCCCGTCATCATTGCCGTTGCCACCATTGGCATGGTCTATGTTGCCTGGAAGCTCTACCAGCAATTTGCCTGGGACATTCTCAAGAACATCGGTGCTGATTATCGCATGAAGAAGCGATTCCTTCACTACCAGGTATGAATGCCCCAGCGATGAGTTGTACCAGTCGGAGCTCTAGACTAACATGATTGCCAGATTTACATCGCCCTGCTCAAGTTCGATTTCTTCTTCTTCCTGGGTTTCATCATTCAGTTTGTCGTCGTCGTCGCTCAAAAGACGGATCCCGAATTCGCTCTCACGATTGCAACCATCCCCGTCACGATTGCCATTCTGATTGCTGCCGCATTCTTCACCCAGCGCGAGAACAAGCCCGGCATGATCGTCGTCATCATCCTTTACTTTGGCGGCCTTTCATACTTCATCTTCAAGCTTTTCCGTATCTACGAACCCAGCCGCGCTCAGTCCTACATGGCCGTTCGAAAGTCCCTCACAGCGTTCGCCGTCATCACCATTCTGCTCATCATCATGACCATCATCAACGCCATCATCTGCATGCACAACTTCGGCTCCGGCCTCAAGGCCCACCTGATGGCCCCACGTAGAGTTGACGAGAAGACCGACATCAACTCATTTGGCATGAACGATGTCAAGACTCCCATGGCAAACCGCATGACCATCGACTAAGGGAGTCATTTGCACATATTGGAGAGGGGAAAAAATAATAAGCGCTTTGCGGAGATGGGAATGTACAAAGAAACGAATTTACGAAAGGGAACGGGATGGCCCCCTTTTTTCTCAATTGAGCCGCCTCATGTAGGCTCATATCAAAGGCTAACTCTGAAAGGCTATGCTGGATGGGGATATTTTGATAACATCCCGTAAATTAAATGGATACCAATTTTTTGCTTTGTCAGTTTCTTGCTTTTTTTCTTTCTTTTTTTCTTTCTGTTTGTTTGCTTCGTCAAGTAGGCTCAGCAACGAAGGGCGTTGGATCTGTACTTCGCATACCACCGAAGACAGCGGGGAGTTTTGTTTGGATACCCGTGATCATCATATCGAAGGATATTATAAAGGGTGACTTATAGATGACCCGTGTCACTCCTCGGCTACTTTTTTGGTTTTCTTCTTTTTTTCTAAAAAAAAAAAAACGAGAAAACTTTTTATCTATTGTTTCCTTTAATGTGATGAACCTTTGTCGTTGATACTTTCTCTACCTTCTTTTATTTTTTTTCATTTGTGTGAATTAAACTGAGTTATGCCTCCAATAAAAAAAAACAAAAATCCATGTGACTGAAATGGTTACGAGATGAGAGAGGCTTATTTGTGATGCTACGTTGTTTATTCGAGATTTTGTTTGTTTCTCATCTGAAACGGAGCTAAAACGGAAAAGAACATGAAAGAGTATTACCAATCCAACCTTGTTGACTTGCTCCCACCCAGTAAGAAAAAGAGAAGAAAAAAAGAAGATGAGCGATACCTAAGTTATCGTAAAAAGCCCAATTACTCCCAAAGAATGTAAAATCCTCGCTTTGGTAAGCCAAAATAACAATATGACGAAAGTGGTGATGTGAAAACGGGAAAGCGGGGATGGAGGTCATTATATAAGATGGTCACCGTGAAAGCCCCTGCTAGAGAGAGAGAGAGAGAGAGAGAGAGAGAAGACGCCAGATCTTTCTCATTTCATCATTGGGAAAGAAGAGAGAAGAGAATGATGGAAAATTCAAAGGGTGATTTTGATGGCATCCTTCAAATGGCCTTCCGTTGGGCAGTAGGGGCACTTGTACCTCGAGCCCTTGGCCATGTTGTGTAAACTCTCTCTGCAAATGACATGTCCACACGGAATCATCATTGCGGGGTTCTGCTCTGTTGTCTGTTCCTTGCTGACGGGACACACGAAGATGGAGTGGTAGATCATAGATGGCGGGAGTGGAGTTTCAAAAGCTAGCTCGTTCTCCGTCGTCCATTCCGTCTTCTTTTCCTTCATGTAGGTTGTGTACTTGATGAGCCGCGGGAGAGCGATGGATCCAGCAGTGACGGCGACGTATAGCGGCGATTCTGCCGACAAGCCCAATAGAGAGCAGAATTCCCTGGTGAAGGAGGCGGAGACGTCTTCGAATGCCGAGTTGATCTGAAAGATGTGCCGGTAGGGGGATGTTTCGATGTTGGGCGCAAAGACCATCGCTCCGCACAACTGCTGAATATCCTTCAGATGTCTCGTCTGGAATCGAGAAAAATTCTCTCTTGCATATCTCAGCGCGCCCATTTGCCCATTATTCTCATCGTCAGGAAGACCATTCACTTCTGGGCCCTTAAACAGCCAGACGAATTGAAGCTTGCAGAGTTCAAACTCCAGGTTGCTGCCTGTCGCCTCCAATCTGCTGTTGTTTTGGCGCGCCCACTTGATCGCCGGACCCAAATTCCTGTTTCTCAGTTCCGAAAGGAGGCTGTACATTTCCGCAAACTGTCCCTGTAAATCTTCGGGATAATCGTTGGCTCCGTGCCCGCCGCTCTCTTCTCCCACTCCGTCTTCTTGTATCATATTATCATCTCCATCTTCGTCCGTCCGTGCCGTCCGAGGAGACCAGGCGGCGTCTAAAGAATGGAGGGGTTGGTCTCGTGACTCGCGGACAAAGGTCGATGCAACGGAAAACTGGCCCTCCCGGACGAGATGCATCGCGATAGCGCGATTTATGAGACCGGCATGGTCGGCCATGGCGTCTGTTTCCATCGGCAATTCTCTATGCGGCAAGGCCTTGGGGAAACGATACCAGTCAGCGTTTGATATGCAACTTGAGCAGAAGGTTAACGGATTTCGAGGCGTACCTTGTCTAGGGCCTTTCCGAAGCTCCGCTGTGCTTTTGTGACATCTTTGAGATCATTGGTGATGGCATCGAGGCGATCCTTGACGGGGTTTTGAAGTGTTGTCATTGCCATGCTAATTCGATGGGAATCGGCGTCCGCTTGCGAGATAAGACATGTGAGCTACAGTCCAAAGTCACTGTAGTGAGGTGAGAGGATCACATACCAGCAGCAACCTGCTCTCTGGCCGCCACGAGGTAATCGATAATCTTGTCGACATCTTGGATGGCGGCTGTAAGATTCGACCTTCTCATACGAGCCAGCTCGGCCTGCAGCGGGCCAAACGGCGAGGCAATGTCGCCGCCCAACGCAGCCATGGTCACTCGCAGGTTGTCCTGATTGTGAAGCAATGTAGAATTCTACTAGATGGAGTCGTTCGTTAAGCGTGTAAACTAAGTCATCAGGATGCGAACGAGTGAAAGTTTGCCCTGAAAACGGGATCTCCAAGAAGTCTTTTGTTAGGTTCAAGTGTCAAGTTGACCGACAGCGGTCGGTTGGAGGTTGTCATCTAAGTACCGCCGGAAGCTTATCGATAGCTGAGTACCACGCCAGCAGAGGATCGGGATGGCGGAGGAATGCCCTTGTCGAGTTATGCAAATAAGCATAACTGCCTTATGCAGGTTGGTGCTCCATTAGTCCACTGCAGGTACTGGAAACTAAACTACCTTGGCATCTTGTGGTGATTCATTCATTGTGTCAGGTTTTACATACCTGCACAGGTAGATTATGACAGTAATAACTGTACAGTAATGATTCAACCGGTTGGTCATACAAAATGAAGTTTGGCATGGTCATGTTACCGTCACCACCTCATCTCATGTATATTACTACCTAATTACCCAGCAGGTACTTCGTACGGAGAGCAGACAAACCGAAATGACGAGCATGATTTCAGAGGCCTCACTAGCAGCCTCGGATCAGCGGTGAACCCCGTTAAGGAGCAGGCGTGCCCCGCTCTGCAGCCGGAAGCAGGCCGCTGCTCTTTAGCTGCAGCTTCAAGAGCATCAATCAAGGCACCAAGGCCTCGAGTCTGGAGTAGTGGTTGATAGTGCGCTGCCACCTTGCATCACATGCCGCTTCCAGCTGGAATACACGCACTAAGCCACAGCGAACGTGCAGGCGCCATCATCGCGATCCCAGTCCCAGCATCGCCAGCCCAAGATCCTGGTTCTGGCTCTGGCTCTTGCTGCCTTCAAAGATGCTCCTTGATTAGTTCGCCTCCAGGGGCTGGCCAACTCCACAATGTCCTTCATGCCGTCCTTCTCCCAGGACGGGAGGGTCTACCGAGACGAAGACTCCTCCGGGACGTCCAAGCTGGACCGCCGAATCTCTCGACCTCTTCCGCCAGAGGGCATCTCGACTCTGCCCGAAATGCAGCTGGTAGACTCGAGGCCCGCGGCGTCCAGCTCCGCAGTGCCGCAGCGACACCTGGTTTTCCCGGATCCCATCGCTTTCAAGTAAGTTTTGACGAGGGTCCAGGATTGCTGCTTGCAGGTTGCAGCGCCGCTGACTGTCTTGACCCCCCAGGTATCTCGAAAACGACCCGTGCGTGCAAGTGGTCCAGCGACGAAGCGTCCTCTGCGGCTACGATCTATATCTTGTCGAGCAGTGGGCCTGCTCCAGGAGACCGCCGACTCTGGTTATAGCGACCTACACCGGCAACGACAAGGATTCCATCGTGGTTGGGGTGCTGGCGGTGCCAGCAGATGAAAGCCTATTGTCCGAGGAAGTCCGCTTATACCTGAAAAAGACGGAGCAAAACCATGCGCGACCAAAGAATACCGAGCTAGGAGAGCTCATGATCACGAACCTCAGCAGTCTCCCCTCATCGCTCACCGTCATCGCAGTGCCTGATGGAGATCTTCGGAAGTACCGTCACTTGTTTATTGTGAATGAAGATTTGAAGCGGCTAGGATGTTCAGGGCGATCTGGTCTCACGCTTACGGAACCCACCGAAGCGACGCAGTCCAAATTCCAGCAGCTGTACAGAACCAGTGATCGAATCCCGTTCAATCAGTCGGTGGTGGAACTTATCAAGCTTTGCCAGGTTGCCTTGTTCATGTTCGACAAGTTGGACCACGCATACATTGACGGCCTGCTTTGCGATGTCACGGAGAAGGCGATTAGCAATTGGTGGGCCGAGGTTGGGGCCGAGCACTACAACTATGAACCGACAGATGGCATTTTGGGGCCATCGACAGTTGCGGCTCTGTTGGGGATGCTATTGGGTGCGAGGAACCGGCTGCATTCCCAAGGTGCTCCTGTGACAAAGGATGTCTTCGATCTCGAGAGCACCAAGCGGGGCATTTCCTACTTTCAAAAGGCCCTGAAGCTGGAAAGGACACGGCGGTTAGACCAGCAAACACTCTTCAAATTGCACACGGCAACCACGAAAGCGGCGGTCAAAGAAGACTGGGGTGTGCAAAAGGCCATCAAGTCGACGGTTACAGAAATTGGAGGTAAAAGGGGAGAGATTGTTATCGACATGGTGTCTGGAAAAGACAAGGGTGGTCTCGCCGATATTGAAACCGTGGACATTGACAAATTTGCCAGCTTGGCATATGGCGAAAGGCCAAAGTGGCTTTGGCATGGCAAGCCGCGCCGGACACCCCTTGAGCATCACGATCAAGATCAAGATGTAGTTCGGCCGCTACCAAAGACGGAGGCAAGTAGCCAGCCCGGAAAACGAACGCACTCCTTACCAGTGGAGGATGACTTGGATATGAAGCGGAAAGATGAGCTGCTTTCTCCGGATATGGGGAATGTTCTTCGCCCAACCATGAGCATGATGGATAGCCCAGCAGAAAGAGATGCGCTACACAAAACTGTGTTCAAGAGTGTTGCCGGGAAAATGAGCGATGCTCGATCAGGCTTTGGACGATTCAAAGACGTGGTTGGTGCCAGGGGACGAGGCCACGGAGCGCGGCTGTCCATCTCAACCAAGGAGGATGTCTTGGAAAACGGAAACGGATCTGCCAACTACCAGAACCTCAGCATCCCGCCGAGCCCTGCCGCTGTGGTTAGCCGAGCCTTTACTTGGAAGACGAAGCCGGAGGAATATCTCTCTGCTATCAAACGGGGAGACCCCGACGCTTTACCTGGACTGGGTGCGGCGGTGTCTTCGCCCGCGTCAACAGCGGACTTGAAGGCTTCGAGACTGCTCGAGTATGAAAGGAAACCAAGAGACTCAGATAGGTCGTTGGAAATCCTCAATCCGGACATGCACCAGTACTCGCACCGCCGGACGGCCTCGACCGTACCGTCGATCGGTGATGAGAGCGATATCGAAGTCATCTGTCCTGGTATTAGGGAAAGATCAGATTTCCGGCAGTTGGCACTATCAAGACGCCGTAGTTGTGATATGGCAGAACTATGCTCAAGGAGAGTGCTCAATGAGAATAGGTGGGCACGTCGCATGTCATTTGGCGACGCCGAAGAGGCCGTCTTGTCCTGGGATGAACTCGTCGACTTAATGGACGAGACGGATGATGAAGAGGAGGCTGAAGCTCGAGCCGTGCATGCTCGTCATCTCGCCCAATGCATTGACAGCATTGTATACAACATCGAACCCTGGGTCAACGACAAGATCAAGTTTGTCCAACTACTTGACGACAAATATAGCAGAGACAAGGCGGAGATACAGAATCTGCACCATCAACTCAGCGAGATCTATCATCGAGTAAAGTACAACTCGGACGAAATGCTGGCGGAAGAACGTGCAAGCCTGACGGAGAGCGTCAAGGAGATTGAAATTCTTACGGCACGCCTCGATTACGAGATCAACGCACTGGTGCAGAAAATCAACGACGTGGAAGACGGCATCCAAAACTTTGAGAGACAGGTGGAAGACGTCGAAAGACGAGCGGACGAACTGAGAAGGCAGCTCGAGACGGAGAGCTGGCTGCATTGGTTTGTGAGAACCTTGACTGGCGTGGGGACCGGACCCCATATCACCCGGTCCATATCATGATTCAAGTATATATATCGTGTTCAGGTTTTGTTCTCTCACTCCTGTTTTCCTTTCATTTTTTTCTCGAACTCTTTGGCTCTAATTATTTTTAATCATCGTTTGCTGAAAAGTTGGGCTGGAGTTGGAAAATCATTACATTCACACGGTATACATGGAACATTGGCGTTTTTACTCATTTCCATGTCTCATTTCGCTTTATTGTCTTTCTTGCAAGAGGATAGATACCATTTTCGCAGAGGAGATGTTTTGTTGGCTCGTCACGGCGACGAAGCTGCCCCCTGGACAGCACTCAGTATAGTCTTTGATAGCTTTATACATCTTGACATGACATGTATATATCCATGATCCCATCATGTCTTCAAAGCCCCCCTTTAAACGCAGGCAACTAACTCCCCATATAATCGTACAAAAGTCCCATGACGTCGTTGTCCATGTTCACGGCCAGGAAGAAGACATGTCGATATCAATTGCCTCCCTCTTTCCTTTCCTTTCCCTTCCTTCCTTTTTTCAAGTGATTCTATAGCTTTACACGGCGGTTATCCTTTTAGAACAGTCCGCCCTGAGGTCCGGCGCCCATTGCCTGGCCCTGCTGCTGCATGATTTCGCTAATCTTCATGGACGTGTCGAGGAACTTTGCGGTACAGCGGTCGAGGCAGACGGACTCGCCCTTGTTGAGCTCGCCCTCGCGGTAGTCGGTGGGGACGCACTTTTTCTGGCAAGTCTTTTGCAGGCTGTGGTTTACATTTAGCAATTGTTTTCTTTCTCCAATTCGCATGAGAGAGAGAGAAAGAGAGAGAGACGGGTGGAGGGGGAATTTACCGGTTGTAGGTATCAGCCATCATGCGCATCTCGCCCTCGACGGCAGCAATCTTTTGCTCCGAGGTGGGCTGGGGACGACCGATTCCAAGGAAAGACATGGTTGCTTTTTATTTTGTGTTTTGTTTTTTGAAAATGGAGAGGTGAAATACGAGGTGAGGGATCGTTGTTTGGTGCTTGGAGGTGGGTTATACGGTGGTTTGGTATTGCAGTTGCGGTGCTTGTATGTCGTCACAGGGCTTTGGGAGATGCGATTTGAGGTTTGGGAGAGGAGCAAAATTTCCCTTCCCGGCAGGATTGATTACATAATGGCTTATCGATAAGAGATCTTGATTGCTGTTATGAAGCTCTCTGTCTGAGCTGGTCTTTACGATTAATGTATTGTAACCTACATAGGCGAATGAGGGAGAAAATGAAGTTGCTCGGCACTTGGATGTACGAATCTTGGCTTACGGAGTACATGCTATTATATAATGTCAATTCAACAATTCACCGCCTCGCGCAATGTTTGCAGACCAGTGAGCAATGAGG